TCGGAGGCAGCGAAGAAAGCCAGAACGTGCGTAATGAAGTGCTTCTCATCGGGGGTTAGGGTTTCCCAGTGACGGAGATCCGGAGACAAATCGACCTCCTCGGCGGTCCAAAACGACGCCTCAGCTTTCTTGTACATCTCCCAGATTTGTGGGTACTGTATCGGAAACATACAGAACCGGTCAGGGTTCGAGGCGAGAAGTGGCTCTTCAGGGATCGAAGGCATTTTGATAACTTCACTAATTTAGATAGAGCAATGGAGTAGTTTTTGAATTCTGGATTGCTATGGACTGTGGAGAGGATTGTTCGGTTTTATAGAGGAAAATTGAGAGGGGAAGACGAAGATTTGAAATTTTAGGCTTAGGGGTAATTTTGAGAATTCGGATTAAATTCTGAGACGTGGATAGTTTTTGTGTGGTTGTGGGACTATTTTGAGAGTGAAATTACGTATTTAGAAATTCATTTATGGAGTTTGAAATTTGGGGGCAAAGCTTGTGAGGGAAGCTTTTAGAGTTTTAAAGAAGTTTAAAATTTAGCGGGAGTTTTAATGGGCGCGAGGTTCGGATTTCGAGCTGAGTTGGTACTTGGTAAGTTGAAGTGGCTGGCACATAGAGAGCAATAGCATGAACGTTACGTGAGGCGGGTCTTAATTGGGGTTAGCACAAGCATGAGGCGCTCGCTTGTGGAAGTCACGTGCCACCTTGTGGGTTTGTGTAGCATAATTGTGGTCGGCTTTGGTTAGGTAAGTGAAATTGTGCAAAAGAGACTTCCCCCTCAAAATGAAATTGTGCGAAAGAGACTTCCCTCCCAAAATGAAGTCTTATTTGGGTTAACAATGATTTCAAATTAAAGTCTATTTTAATTTTTAAGGTACTCAATTTTAACATATGTTAAAAGAGAAAGTATTTTTGAATCATATACATGGTTTTACAACGAATGGCTAAAACCCGTTTTAATCATTGAACCGGATTAACTTGAGGTTGAACCAATATGAATAGTTTCAAACCGCTTTTCAACCGTTAGGTTAAAGAATGAACTGCGATTCTAGATAGATTTATTAATTATTAGAGTTTTCAATAATTACAGTGTTGAATCATAGTTCAACCACCAAGCAAAGAATAAATCAATCAAATCGCCCGACCACGAACCAGCCCCTTGACTAAGTCAAGGCCTGGTTCAAGTAAAAAAACATTGATTAGATTTTGGTATAACCATCCAATGATGAAGTTTCATACTAGTGCGAGACTAGATGATTATACCAACATAAAAAAGGTTACACTATATGGTTTTTGGCCTTTTGGCTTAGTTTAATTTTCAACAGGGTTGAAGTGTTAGATTCCCGTCAAATCTAACTAAAGAAAAGAAACCTAGCGGAAAGAGGTCTTGTGGCCTTTCGATAATTTAAGGGGTTTAAGTTAGTTTTGAAAGTTTCAAGGGGTCTGAATGTTATTACCCTATTTGATGGGATGGTTTCAGTGATGCTTGGTTAATATATACTCAAATTCAACTTTGTAAAATTTATCTTTCTACCGATTGGAGTAAATTAGTAAAAGAAGACGCGGCTTTCACTGAGAGCATTTTTCATAATGTCATAATACAAAGCCTCGTGTCGTTTTATGTTCAAACCACTGACCTACGTGTCGTCATGCTTCCTCAGTTTGCCACATGGCACACCACGTGTCAATGAAGTAACTTGATTAGAACCCATATAAATGCCTGATGGACTTCCTCTTAGAATCATAATTCACAGTACTGAATGTTAGTATTACAAAGGATCAACTGCGCACGCTCAGTTTCCGCTTTAAGTTGGCGAAATTCTAATCGTTTCTTTACAGGTTTTAACTTCAGCCCAGACGAGAAAAACATGTCTTCAGATCAACAACGAGCTGAACTTGACGCCAGCCAGGCAAGGTTTTTTGGTGCCTGTGGAACTGGTGGCAAAAGTTTAAGCCCAGAGCACCTTGCTGAAGGTAAACTAATTACATAATGAAAAATTCTATATTTCTTTATGTGTTTTTAACGAGTGCTTTCGAGAACATATATAATTACAATTTGTTTTGTTATGGAACAAAAGGAGGATCGTGGAGGCAGACAAGGAGGGAGCAGCTGGGGACAGAAGGGTACCAGGAAACGGGCCGGAAAGGCGGGCTCAGCACGGGTGACCAGTCCGCGAGGAACGTGCTTCTCAGGAGGGAATTCCGATCGACGAGTCCAAGAGTTAAAAACTGTGTTTTAATAGTTGATGAAATGATATATGCTGATGACTCTTGTATTGTAGATATAGTTGTTCCTTGTTTAGGTTTTAAATTCCCGTCTTTTGTACGCTTTTTGCAGGTAAGTTAGAGGTGATCACAATTCACAACCGTACGTTATGTATCTGTGTCAGATTTCAGGTGGTTCTGGGTCGTTGATAAAATTCAGGGAACGACTTTTGTTACTATGTAGAGGCTGTAATTTTGTCCAAGCCTTTTCTTTGATACCTCTGGATGTACTCGCGTATCTCATATACGTAACTTTGCATGCAGTATCCAGCTTTTGGATTTAATTTCAAAACAAAAAGAAAACGATAAAGGCTTGACTTTGGATAACGGTGAAGTTTTACTTACATGGTAGAATCTTTACGTACTGTCTGTTTTTCCGGTGCATTAGTATTTGGTATTACAGCCGAACCAGAGAGGTGCTGCCCTGTAAAATTTATGGATTCAGATTAATTCTGTAGAAATATGCAAAATAAATTTCTTATTTATGTTAACCGGAAATCTGCCGGAGGCGCAGGTTGTTGTCGTTGCTGACAATACTGAATGGCCACCTCTTGAACGGTTGAACCTATAAGGCTATAAGTTATCTTCCATTCTCTTCCTAAGAGAAACTATAGATAAAGATTGGCCGAACAAAGCCACCTCTTGCCAGGTAGATGCACCACGTGTAAGCTGACTAAATATAAATAATGCTATTTGTACCAAAAAAAAAAAAAAAAAACACTCGCGTAAGATATCACAAAGTATGTCATATGACATTAGGACCTATATAATTTAATGTTACATTATTATTATATGGTTTTATGTCATGTGACAGTCAATGATATATCACGTTATTTTGTACAAACTCTTTTTCTATAAATAATTTTACCTATACCAGAATTCGGGAGAATAAATTATTCGTTCATTTTATTTTTAACTCTAAATTGTAATTGTTATGTTATATAAAATATATTTTTGGGCAGTAAAAAGAATTTAAAAATAACTTAAAATCCTTATAAATTTTCAAAATTATTTTTAAATTATAAACTAAATTGATGTAAATTATATATTGAAGAGAACAATTACACATCTTTTGTTTTTTCGTTTTTGATATACAGGTGACCACACTGAAGTTTTTATTCGATCAATAGTTTTAAGATCCTAAGAGATTAGTTGAAATACACAATCCTATCAAATTGTTCTTATTCGATCAATAGTTTTAAGATCCTTCTTATTCGATTAATAGTTTTAAAATCCTAAGAGATTAGTTTAAATACATAATCCTATCGAGTTCTATCTTTAATAGAAATGGTCACTAGAGTTCTTATTCGATCGATAGTTTCAAGATCTTAAAAGATTAGTTAAATACATGATCCTAAAAGGGCGTTTGGTTTAAGAATGTTAAATTACTGGGAATGTTAGATTACTGGAAAGATAGATTACCTTGAAAGATTACCGGGAATCTTTAAGAAAATGTGTTTGATTAGTTGATGGACATGTTATATTAATATGTTTGGTTATGGGGAATAAATTGCTAGGTATGTTATTTAAATTACTAAATTGTCCCCCTTTTAAATATTAATATAATATTATTTTATTATTAATTTTTGAATAATTTCTTTTAACTTCCAATATTCAGATTTAGCTAAAACACCTTCACTTATATAAAATTTTAATTTATAACGAAATCACTCCCACCTTCTGTCGCCACCGGAAACCACCGCCAGAAGTTTTCAAAAGTCCTCATGAGTACTTCACCGTGACCAAGAGGCTCCGATATGGCCATTTCTGGCCATATTAATGGCTGAAAACGGCCATATCAAGCCAGATCTGACCGAAAACGACTATATCAAAGCCTCCCACAAAATCCCGTTCTTTTTTAAGGACTCCAACAATTTTCCGACGACGATCCGTGGTGGTTGGCCCGTTATCAACGGTGGTGGTTGGGTGGCAGTGGTGGTGGTGGCTGGGATCCAGTGGCGATCTGTAAATTATTTTAAATATAAGAGCATTATTATCCAAAATTTTAATTAAACAAAGGTAAAATTGAAATAAGATATTAATGTAAATTTGTTTTAAAGTAGGGGTGTTATTGTCCAAATTTTTTATTAATAAAAGATAAAATTATAACAAAAAAAGATAACCCTGGTAATCTCAGAATACCTAAGAAAATGGAAATAATCAGATTACATCCAATATTACCAATAGTAACCATTATTGGTATTTAAAGATTATCGGTATCTTATATTACTTGACAACTAAACATGATAATCAAGTAATATAAGATGACATAACCCCAGTAATCGCACATAACCCCCAACCAAACGCCTCATAAGAGATTTGTTTAAGATATACCTAAACTGCCGTGTTTAAAAAAAAAAAAAAAAAAAAATCAATGGAAGAACAAATGAACTCTTACTACAGCACTATCTTTATATTATTTTGTTTCTTTTGTACACATAATAATTAGATCCTGATTCAGTCAGGATCGTATATTTAAGGGCTAGTTTTTTCATCTCCACAAACTGAGTGCACAGCTCTTTCTTTGTGCAAAACCGAAACCAACTTCGTCAGTGTAATCCATCGTTCTTTCTCAAACCTATGTTTATGACAAGTTGAAATGAGCTTCAGAACATTTCTTCTCAAAGACCTCTGTCACCAATACAATGGCGAGTCGAGCTGCAAACACCAAATTTCTGAAGTTTGCTCTTTCTTTTGGAAAAAAAAATGGAGAAGAGGGAAGAAAAGCCTTAAACCTAGCTTCAGTTGTTGGAAGAGAACAACTTATCTATCTCACCAAGGGCATTGATGTGAGTGGTTGGAAATAACAAACGCAACAAAGGAACCAAAGATGATGAAACTAGATTGGGCTTGATTTTCTCCACGGCCGACTTGATAAGGGATGGAACCGGCACGCTGAACCACTTAAGATACCATGAAAGTAGTACTAAATTTTTCTCTTCTTTGGATTCTTCTTCGTCATGCCATCTTCCTGAGTTCAGATACTTTCTCAAATCAATTTTAAATCCATCTGAACAACTAAGAATGTCTTCCACTCGCTTCCTAAGAGACCCCATGAAGATTGGTTGAACAATGCCTCCTCTTGAAGCAGATAATCTTCCACTTAACAGAGCTTCATTATAGGCGAGCACAAGCTGCGGTAGAAGATGGATAGTGAAAAACTTGAAATGTAAATAATCGTGTTCTTTAATAAAAAAGGATAACAGAAACTTACCTTCAAATTGGATATAAGGAGCGAGTCACTTACAATGACATTGTCATTGGTGACCTGCTCGGCCATTGACCTAACCGTCGTGTATAATGACAAGTAGACCTAGACAAATAAGCAAATGGATTATGATGGTGAGCATATTACGGGTATTCAAATTGGTAGATTCATACGAATTGTACTGCTTTTGAAGTCATCGAAATGCATGGAGATCCTATTTCCAGGTTACATTAGCATTTACCTGCAACAGAGCCGGTCTATCCTTGCTTATGCACTCGAATAGAACTTGCAAACAAAATTCCTGGAAATCACCATCAAATCTGCAACATGTGCAATGGCAAAGAGTTTTTACAGATTATCAGAGCTTGAATAAAGGGAAGAAACTTCTACATTTTGTATAAAGGATGACGGAATTGCCACAGTAATATATGATTCCACTATGTGATATTATATCTAAGGCATCAAAAGCAGAAAAGTAAATTAGATTTGATATTGAATTTGACAGCAAAATACTGAATGAGTGCTGATATGGATAAATAACAGAAAAAATAGACTTGCAACTGCCACTACCCTTTTAAACAATACATCATTAAGGTTTGGCCAAATGGATTGTATAAATATACGGTTCCTAACCCAAATTTGTTTCACTCCGTGTTACAGGACATACTTAGACTGATAAAACACTAAGTAGTAAACTGAAAAATCCAAAAGTTAAATTTCAGTGAGCATGCTGAAGCCACCATTAAGGAAACATAGATTGCTTCTACAAGATCATAACATGAAAAGACATTGAAATAAACTGGACTTGCCTGCTATTCCAGGAAGGGTCACAGCAAAGTTGTGCAAAAGCAATTAAGCTAGGATCAGATGAAAAGGTACTGACCAACTGATCAACAGTAACAGAATTAGGACCACTGTTGTTATTGATATTTGGATCAGATGCTCCTAAACTTGTCAAACCCAACACCTGGATTGGGGAGGACAAATTAAAATTCCTCCATAAACAGGAATAAATTAAGGTGAGGATCAATCTATAATAACTCTTATGACATTATCACCTTATGCATCGCACGTGACATCAAGGACTGACACCCTACAGGATCATCCACATACGAACAAGCTCCAACCTTCCGTTTGATATAGATAACACCAGAATTAAATGGGTCATTCTTATCCCCAGCACTCCACCAAGGTTTATCTGTCGAAGAAAAACAATTGGAAGGATCTAAACATGTTGCAAGTTTACACTATTTAATAGAAATGGAGCACCATGACACACTAACCTTCAGGTACCAGCTCTATCACTAAAGGCCAGTATCGAGGTCCACAAACACGAACTGTCTTCAACTGCAACCAGTAAACAATTGAACCATCAAAAAAATTGCAATTTTTCTAAAATCCATCTGTCCATTTTAGAGCCCAGTTAATGTAGTTCTTTCAATGAAACTTAACAATCTCTTCTTATAACTGTATATGTCCTAGCAAAGCTATACCTGTACAAGAGGGCTTCGGGTTTACTAACAAAGAAACAAAAAAATCCTCAAAGAAAGTGTAAAGAATATAGAAGAAAATATCAGATATCATGTAAAACCTAGCAAATTTGTAACAGACAACTTCAATTTTTTCTTGCAGGAGAAAGAAAACATAAAGATTTCTGGAATTGCAACCATTTAAATCGTTACTCATGAATCTGTAAAACTTACAATAGAACGTTCTGGCAGAATGCAAGGAGTAACTTCACAAAAGCTTGTTTCTGAATAATGTTCAGTTTCTCTGACAGTAACTTCAAGAGGGGCATACACAGGGAGACCAGTGTCAACATCGACAGTCTGAATCCAGCGAGATTCCGTTGCAAGGACGTACAAATGCCTAAATGCCTGAAAAAGTACACTTCATGAAAACAAGATGCTAAAAGAGTAACATAAAAACTGTTTCTGGCATACCTGAAGGTGGCAGCGATTATCATTTGGTCCAGAAGGCAAGCGTGGATAAAGAGAAATCAATAAAGCAGCAATAGAACTGTTGCTCGTTGAAAATGTTCGCATTCCACCCCCAAGAAACAAGAAGCCAATGGCTAAACTTACCTAAAAAACCAGCACATGGTAGGAAATATAAGGAACATAAGCTGTTGTAAGACAAAAACCTGCTCAACTGAATGCATTCCAAATGGGTACACACAAACATGGTAGCATTCCTCTTAAGCAGGGAGTTTAGATGAATTAACATCATAAAATGCTATTTGTCCCATAGACACTGTAGTAGCACGCATGAGATTGAATAATATTTAATGAGCTCTAGTCCTGGCCTTGGCCTCTACCATCTTAGACTCAGCAACCAATTATGTTTTTGGCAGGTCAGTACAAACTACATTGAAAATATAGAGTACATAATCAAAACATAAGGAGCTAAAGCACCTATAGATCTTACTCTCCAAGTCTGAAAACTGTAAAATAAAATATTATAAAAGCACAATCCATTCAACTTTATCCTCATCAATTTCTAGGAATATTAATAATATTATAATATAATTTGAGTGTCCACATTCAAAATTTCAAGTTTTTTAGCATATTTTAGAAAAATCATATGCAGAAACTCTTACTGCCATCTGGATGCCATAATTTGCATTGCCATCTGCAGAATTTCGACTGCGAAGAAATCTCAACAACCGAAAAGTTTGTAGGTGTCCTGAACCAGCCATTACCTGTCCTCAGACCAATCATAAAAAGAAAAAATAAAAAACAAAAACCTTAGCCACTACTGTTATTTATGTAATTGAAAATAGGAAAAGGGCAAAAAAGGACTTTTATTCTTTTATGTACCACAGACAAGGAAAGAACAACCAGGTGAAGGCATATTTCTAGCGTGCATCGATCTACATAGCGAGACAATCCCTTTGGAAAGGCATTTCGACTTGTACCGGAAACAGGCTTGATCTGCTGACATTAAAGTATAAGTTTTTACAACTAAATAAGCAGTAAATTTATACAGAGCAGGATGAAACTGTATGACCTCATTTAGGAAGTAGACAGCGTATTCATAAAGTAACTCCTGCACATTTGCATTCTTTGTACCAGCAAATCTTAACCCTGCCAATAATAAATGATAAAGATAATGGAATTTATAGATATATTTTCTATAAACGAAAGATACAATGAAGCATTAAATTAATTTCCAGTAATTTGCTGCAAAAATATTTGAATGCGAGCTTAATTTAGCATTCACAACAATAAAAGTAAACAAAAAAGATATATGAACCCAGATATTCGATTTAAAATAGGCCAATTTTTTCTAATCTTTGCTCAATCTGTAAAAATTACTGCGCATAGATGAGCGTCTTTGATCATTCAAAATCATTATAATTTTAGTGAAGGGACGAAATCTGCAAATTTGTGGAACTGTTCCACGAGGCTGTTTTTTGCTTTTAAATAACTTCTTATTTTTATAAATGTATTTAAGGATATTTCTGATATTTTCACACCTCGATTAAGATTTTACCATTAAATTATGAATGACAGGGTAAGTTTGAAGAGTTTTTTTAAATTTCAAGGAATTGCAGTGAAGTTTACTCAAACCTCAAGGGAGGCCACTGATATTTACCCTAAATCTATTTGTAAATTTTATTTTAAATTCTTTTTAGTGATTTTAATCACATAGAAAGCATACACAAAATAAAAATCAATATCATACATATAGCATGAATCAGTAGAAATAACGTACCAAGAGAAATACATGCCCCAGCCACTATATTGACATAGGCCTGGACAAAGGTTTCTGCATCCATTTCATCAACATCACTGTTATCATCTCTAAGGGCATCGATGCTATGTTTGACAATTTCAGGAATCTGGGACTGAATCCAATCTTCAGAGGGGTGAACTCTGATACAATAAAGCTCATTAATTTAATTATAAAGAGTAGTTAAGTAGATGAAAGTTCAATCACCAGATTAGTTAAACAGACTAGCTGTACCTGTTCCACATTATTAAATTCCGAGCAATGACACGAAGCATAATGAAATCAGGCCGCACATATTGCAAATCAAAATGTGTTTGAGGGATGGAAAGCCTAGAAACAATTGCCTCTGATTCAGTCTGTTATTAGTACAAAGGAGGACAAAGTGAGAAAACCCTGACACATCAATGAGAATGTGAAATAGTCTGTACCTAAGAACGTTGACAGCCTAATGCACTGGTTGAAAAATTTCATATGAAATGTCAACTACCAAGCCTCTTTACCTTTAAAAACATTAAAGAAAGGGCAATAATAGCTCCAGGTGCAGTGACATCAACATTGACCATGGTTCCATCCATCATCTACAAAGCAAAAGTTCCCAACAAAAGGATCTCAATATCAATTGCTTCGGCAAAGAATATGCCCAAGTGGTATCCCTCTTGAGACAACATTAAAAGCATGGAAATTTTTTTATTTCAAATGTAGCTGACAGAACCTGCCCAGCACTACGGTTTTGCTCATCCGTTGACAGTGATAAGAAGTGTGATCTTTCCTGATGAAGAATTCAAGACAAAAGAAACAATTCAGAGAGAAACAAATTAAATAAAGTCCATTCAGTAGGAAACTGCGGACGATTCAGTTCTTAATGCACAGAACTTACAAAACATGGTGCAAACATACAAAAGTAATTCACCCAGCAAAAGTAAAATGAGAAAGAACAGAAGTCAACATAAGATAATTTTACCTTGTGAACTTCTTTGCCACCAATGTAGTGGAATAATCGACCAACCAAGGTATCTGTGAAACCAAGTGCATCATCTCCTCGACCTTCAGTTTTAAAATAAAACAATTAATAAGGTCACCACTTCACAAACAATTAACTAATTTAAATATTCAATTGCTTATACCCAATGCAACAAGGCCCAAAGCAAATCCAGCAGAAACCGCATGACCCTCCCTTTCAAGAACATTATCACCTCCACTTCTGCGACCTATTTCACCCTGTACATATCACACACAAGGTCAACTCAAGGCATCTAACATCTAACAAAGAATCTTTGAGGAAGATACTGAAACCCCAATGCTGTAGAAATCTATGGCATGATTCATACATAATATTCAGCATTGTAAGAAGAAACACTGAATGATGTGCAGTGATCATCAGTACTTAAGATGTAATTATATTCTCAGCCAGAAAAATAATGAGTTAAGCATCCCACGAGGAGCTGTCTCACATGGTGTAGAATAAAATAAAGAAGACCATTTTATTATTCACAGACTTGTGGCGTAAACGATTCTGAGGCAAGAAAAAATCTGCAGATTACACCAAGTACAAAACTTGGACTTGTTGACAACATTAGTAAAACTTTGTAAATAAACTAAACATTAAAAAATAAGAATGTAACATGCAATTAGCAACTAACTATTACCTATAGTCAACTAAGGGGAACCATTCGTGCTATAGTTCACTTTCAATTTTCACTTATATACATAATACAGCAAATGCATTTCTTTGAATGGTTCATTACATTGAATAATGTTGATGCTTTTTGACATCAAAATTTATATAGAGCAAAACATTGAGTAAATCAGAAAGCAAACAGGAAAAATAAAATACCAGAAGAATCTGCATAGTTTGCGGATGAGCTGATCCTTCATAAAGAAGTCCCACTGACATTAATGCTGCCGACTGCAGAATAAGACAAGAGATTGCATTGTTGAAATAAATATTAAGAAAATCACTGAGTAATCTTAAATATAATTTTTTCTTACGAATTAGTACAATTACTCATTTCAATGATAAATACAAATAAAACACATGTTATTCCCCATGATGCTAGAGTGTCCAGTAGTCAAATTTACCACTTCAGTACTAACTATAATAGCACCAAGAGAAAAAAAAAGTCACAGAATGATTGCAGCCTGACAAGAAATTTAAGGTAGGTAAATGGGGTTTTAATGATCTGTGGTGGCAAAAAGAATCCTGGGATGCATTTATTTACTGAGAAACACAAATAAAGATGCATAGATCAAGTGTGCAAAGTTCATTCTTGCTTGTACACACTCCTGAAGGATAAAACTTAAGAGGTGAATTTAAAGAGAAACAAAGACTGCGGTCTGATGATCTATACCTGCAGAATTGTTGGTAACTCCAACTCCACTGAAGATGGAAGCCTGGCAGGAATATGAACATAAAGGGACTGCCAAGGAAAAATTCAACAACTTAGCCTCAATTAACAAGCGTTGCATACAATATTCATTACAAGAAATCATATTAGATCCTTGAACAAAAAAGAGAAAGATATATCGATCTTTACAACTTAATAGGAGCTTAGGGCCATATTCAACTTGTACAAAATGACCAAAGACCTAAACAAGTACAATCTATCTAAAATGTGAGCCACTAAGTTGCAACAAAATGGCAGTAAGAGGAATTAAAAAGCAATATATGCTATAAAAGGGGCTATGAACAAATTTACTAGAAGGAGACCATACATAAATAGGTTCCTTATGATATGCTAATTCTTTCATTAACAAAGACGATAAAAAATAATAATAATAATAAAAAAAAAAATTATGCAAAGGGAGCAACATGCTATCACCTTTGATATTACTGGATGCATGGTCCCTCTATGAGAAACAGCGAGGCCAAGCATTAATCCAACAGTTGTGCTTTCATGTTCCTATAACAAAGATGCATCAGGAGAGCTAAATAAAACAGTGAGACTTGAAAGAAACCAACAGAAACAGGTTTAGCATCCATTACTGGAAATAATCAGAAGCATATTGTAAGTAGCAATTTTTATGTGCATTTGGAAACAGATTAACACATAATACCATGAAATTCACATAACACAGCAATAGAAGTCTTGAAGGTTCCAGACTAATCATAGGTTTTGTGATTATAGGCTTATAGCTAACAAAGTTTTACTTTTACAATGTAAATAATCAGCAGTAATGTGCTTGTTCACTACATAAAGTTTGTTGAATCAAAAAAGATGTCAAACATTCCAAATTAGTGTTCTAATTTGCTTTAAACTGCAGCCACATCAATGCTTCAAAATATCCAGCGAAGGATCCACAGATTCATTGCAGTAACTAAGGAGTAACATTCATAAATATAGTAAAATTTCTTTTCTACCATTTCCTAAACAGATGAACTAAACAAACAAACAAATGAAAAAGATGTGCATTTGGAAACGGATTAACACCATAATACCCTGAAAAACTCAAATAAACACACAATACAAATCTTGAAGGTTCCAGACTAATCACTCCGGTTTTGTGCTTATAGGCTTATAGCTAATAAGTTTACTTTTACACTGTAAATAATCAAGCAGTAATCTGCTTGTTCACTACATAAAGTTTGTAAATCGGAAAAAGATGTTCAAAACATTCCAAATTAGTGTTCTAATTGCTTTAAAATTCATGCACTTTGATCACATTCCAGTTCATATCATATATCACACATATGAACATACATATGTTGAATAATTGATATCAGACAACAAAATTTTCAGATCATTACATACAAATACAGATAAAGAGACTTATAAGCTATAAGAAGAGCTCAGTCCACATCATACTTCAAAATATTAAGCGAAGGATCCACAGATTCAATTACCAATAACCTGAAACTTAATTTCCTTTCTAAAGAAGATACACATATTTTGAAATTCAACAAGAATACACCCTCAATTTGATCAAATATCAAGTGAAATACAAAGCAATTATCAACATATATTAGAAGTAAAGGATATTAAAATTCAATTAGCAGTAACCTAAGGAGTAACATTCATAAATATATTAAACTTTTTTTTTCTATCATTTCCTGAACAGAGGAACTAAATAAACGAACAAATGAAAACCACCACCACATATTAATAGTACAGAAATATTATTACTCTAAAAGTCTTCATCCATTTTGAAATCGTGGGTGGTTCCATTGGCATTAATACTTGACATAATTGAAGCCTTCTGATACTCCCCAACTCTCTTCTCAAAGAAATTAGTCTTCCTTGAAGCGAAATCAGCTCCATCCAATCAAAAGGATTTGTCACACCGTAGAGCTCCGTACCCGAGCGCACCCAACAGCCGATCTGCAACGAACATCAATGTATTGACTCATTACTCCCCGTTCATTCCGACCAGCGCGCACGGCAGCGCGTCGCACACAATACTTTCTATACCCCGCCTCCTTCACAATCCCCTTCACGCGCTCCTCATTAACTTCGTCCTCAACAGATGTAAAACAAGCACGCGAAGTCACAGTGCAGTCCCTCGTCACGCGAGATCAACTCGTTAGAGAAAGTTAATCCCGGCATAAACCGCGTTTTTTAAGCCAAAAGATAGAGCAAAACTCCCCGAGAAAAAAATCCTTCCACGCAAGCAAACGCAACTATTCTCTCGGCGAAAGTCTCCGAACCGTCGATCCAATTTAACGCCCAGTTTGCCTTTCTAGCCCACACACGGCACCGTTTCAATCGCGGTGAAACAAACGAGTCTTTTCTGCAGAATCTTTAATATAAGTTTCGAGAAGAAGCGAGTACATTTCCGAGTGGATATTTCAATCGCGATTGGAAGCCATAGAAGGCACGCGCCTCAGCAACTTGGACCTCTCAGAACGCCCGGCGAGATTTTCGAGAACGATGCCATCGGAGGCAGCGAAGAAAGCCAGAACGTGCGTAATGAAGTGCTTCTCATCGGGGGTTAGGGTTTCCCAGTGACGGAGATCCGGAGACAAATCGACCTCCTCGGCGGTCCAAAACGACGCCTAGCTTTCTTGTACATCTCCCAGATTTGTGGGTACTGTATCGGAAACATACAGAACGGTCAGGGTTCGAGGCGAGAAGTGGCTCTTCAGGTATCGAAGGCATTTTGATAACTTCACTAATTAGATAGAGCAATGGAGAGTTTTTGAATTCTGGATTGCTATGGACTGTGGAGAGGATGTCGGTTTTATAGAGGAAAATTGAGAGGGGAAGACGAAGATTTGAAATTTTAGGTTAGGGGTAATTTTGAGAATTCGGATTAAATTCTGAGACGTGGATAGTTTTTGTGTGGCTATGGAATTATTTTAGAGTGAAATTACGTATTTAGAAATTCATTTATGGAGTTTGAAATTTGGGGGCAAAGCTTGTGAGGGAAGCTTTTAGAGTTTTAAAGAAGTTTAAAATTTAGCGGGAGTTTTAAGGGCGCGAGGTTCGGATTTCGAGCTGAGTGGTACTTGGTAAGTTGAAGTGGCTGGCACATAGATAGCGATAGCAACGTGAGGCGGGTCTTAATTGGGGTTAGCACAAGCATGAGGCGTCACTTGTGGAAGTAGTGCCACCTTGTGGGTTTGTGTAGCATATTGTGGTCGGCTTTGGTTAGTAAGTGAAATTGTGCAAAAGAGATTTCCCCCTCAAAATGAAATTGTGCGAAAGAGACTTCCCTCCAAAATGAAGTCTCATTTGGGTTTACAATGATTTCAAATTAAAGTCTATTTTAATTTTTAGGTACTCAATTTAACATATGTTAAAAGAGAAAGTATTTTGAATCATACATGGTTTTACAACGAATGGCTAAAAAACCGTTTTATCATTGAACGGATTAACTTGAGGTGAACCAACAAGATAGTGTCAAAACGCGATCAAACCGTTAGGTTAAGAATGAACTGCGATTCTAGATAGATTTATAAATTAGAGTTTTCAATAATACACGTGTGAATCCTAGTTCAACCACCAGGTCAGAGAATGAACCAATCAAATCGCTCGACCTAGAACCAACCTCTTGACCAAATCAAGGCCTGTTCAAGTATAAAAAAATTGATTAGATTTTGGTACAACCATCCAAGCATGAAGTGTCATACTAGTGCGAGACTGGATGATTATACCAACATAAAAAAAAGGTTACACTATATGGGTTTGGCTTAGTTTAATTTGATACAGGGGTTGAGTCTGATGGCCTTTCGATAATTTAAGGGGTTTAAGTAGTTTTGAAAGTTTCAAGGGGTCTGAATGTTATTAACCGATTTGATGGGATGGTTAAGTGATGCTTGGTTAATATATACTCAAATTCAACTTGTTAAATTTTATCTTCTTACCGATTGGGGTAAATTAGAAAAGAAGACGTGGCTTTCACGAGAGCATTTTTATAGTTATCATAATACAAACGCCTCGTGTCGTTTTATGTTCAAACTACTGAACTACGTGTCGTCAATGCTTCCTCAGTTTGCCACATGGGCACACACGTGTCAATGAAGTAACTTGATTAGAACCCATATAAATGCCTGATTCGACTTCCTCAGTTAGAATCATAATTCACAGTATGAATGTTAGATTACAAAGGATCAACCGCGCACGCTCAGTTTCGCTTTAAGTTGGCGAATTCTAATCGTTTCTTTACAGGTTTTAACTTCAGCCCAGACGAAGAAAACATGTCTTCAGATCAACAACGAGCTGAACTTGACGCCAGGGCCAGGCAAGGTGAGGTTGTGGTGCCTGGTGGAACTGGTGGCAAAAGTCTTGAAGCCCAAGAACACCTTGCTGAAGGTAAACTAATTACATAATGAAAAATTCTATTTTTCTTTTAATGTGTTTTAACGAGTGCTTTCGAGAACATATATAATTTCAATTGTTTTGTTATGGAAACAAAAGGGGGAGCCGTGGAGGGCAGACAAGGAGGGAGCAGCTGGGGACAGAAGGGTACCAGGAAATGGGCCGGAAAGGTGGGCTCAGCAAGGGTGACCAGTCCGGCGAGGAACTGCTTTCAGGAGGGAATTCCGATCGACGAGTCCAAGAGTTAAAAACTGTGTTTAATAGTTGATGAAAAGATATAGCTGATGAACTTGATTGTAGATATAGTTTTCCTTGTTTAGGTTTTAAATTCCCGTCTTTGTACTAGCTTTTTGCAGGTAAGTTAGAGGTGATACAATTCACAACCGTACCTTATGTATCTGTGTCAGATTCAGGTTCTGGGTCGTTGATAAAATTCTCAGGGAACGACTTTTGTTACTATGTAGAGGCATATAATTTTGTCCAAGCCTTTTCTTTTTAACCTCTGGATGTACATCGCGATCTCATATACGTAACTTTGCATGCAGTATCTAGCTTTTGGATTTGAATTTCAAAAACAAAAGAAAACGAAAACGCTTGGGATAAGCGGTGAAGTTTACTTAAATGGTAGAATCTTACAGTACTGTCTGTTTTTCGGTGCATGGTATTTGGTAGTACAGCCGAACCAGAGAGGTGCTGCCCTGTAAAATTTATGGATTCAGATTAAATCTGTAGAAATATGCAAAAAAAAAAATAATTTCATATTTTATGTTAACCGGAAATCGCCGGAGGCGCAGCTTGTTGTCGTTGCTGACAATACTGAATGGCCACCTCTTGAACGGTTGAACCTATAAGGCTATAAGTTACCTTCCATTCTCTTCCTAAGAGAAACTATAGATAAAGATTGGCCGAACACAGCCACCTCTGCCACGTAGATGTACACGTGTAAGCTAATCATATAAATATCAGAAGGCTAATGCTATGACATAGTATTACGTAATTTAATACGTAATATACATATACAAACAAATCTTACAAAACAAAAATAAATGATAGAATGAATATGATGAGTTTAATTTTGTATTTCACTCATCATTATTTTATGGTCACATAATGTACACAAATCTTATAAGATTTGTTTGTACATCTAGTATTATTGAATTTAACATCACATTAATGTTATGTGGATCTTTATGTCGCGTGACATACACTTTGTACAAGCTCTCTTTGTACAAATGTTTTATCTATACCAAAATTGGAGAAAAATTGTTATTCATTCATTTTGTTTTATAACTACTAAATGTAATTCTTATGTTATAAAAATATATTTTAGGCAGTAAAAAGAATTAAAAAACATAAAATCCTTATAAATTTCAAAATTATAAACTAAATTGATGGAAATTATATATTGAAGACAGCAATACACATCCTTTGTTTTTTGTTTTTGATATTACTCATCGACTTATATCCCAATAGAGGTGAATATGGTGTTCTTATTCGATCAATAGTTTTAAGATATTTTTTATTCGATTAATAGTTTTAAGATCCTAAGATAGTTGAAGTACACAATCCTATCAAGTTCTATCTCTAATAGAGATTGTCACATAAAGTTATTACTCGATCAATAGTTTCGGATTATATAAATTAGTTAAAATAAACATAAAGTGCGGCGGTTAAAAAAAAAAAAGATATATCAATGGAAGAACAAATGAACTCTTACTATGCACTTCTTATATTATTTTGTTTCTTTTGTACACATAATAATTGATCCTGATTCAGTCAGGATCGTATATTTAAGGGCTAGTTTTTTCATCTCCACAAACTGAGTGCACCTCTTCTTGTGCAAAAACCGAAACCAACTTCGTCAGTGTAATCCCCGTTCTTTCTCAAACCTATGTTTATGACAAGTTGAAATGAGCTTCAGAACATTTCTTTTCAAAGACCTCTGTCACCAATACAATGGCGAGTCGAGCTGCAACACCAAATTTCTGAAGTTTGCTCTTTTTGGAAAAAAAAAATGGAGAAGAGGGAAGAAAAGCCTTAAACCTAGCTTCAGTTGTGGAAGAGAACAACTTATCTATCTCACCAAGGGCATTAATGTGAGTGGTTGGAAATAACAACGCAACAAAGGAACCAAAGATGATGAAAATAGATTGGCGTTGATTTCTCCACGGCTGACTTGATAAGGGATGGAACCGGCACGCCGAACCACTTAAGATACCATGAAAGTAGTACTAAATTTTTCTCTTCTTTCGATTCCTCTTCGTCATGCCATCTTCCTGAGTTCAGATACTTTCTCAAATCAATTTTAAATCCATCTGAACAATATAGAATGTCTTCCAATCGCTTTAAGAGACCCATGAAGATTGTTGAACAATGCCTCTCTTGAAGCAGATAATCTTCACTTAACAGAGCTTCATTATAGGCGAGCACAAGCTGCGGTAGAAGATGGATAGTGAAAAACTGAAATGTAAATAATCGTGTTCTTAATAAAAAAGGTAACAGAAACTTACCTTCAAATTGGATATCAAGGACGAGTCACTTACAATGACATTGGCATTGGTGACCTGCTCGGCCATTGACCTAACCGTCGTGTATAATGACAAGTAGACCTAGACAAATAAGCGATGGATTATGATGGTAAGCATATTATGGGTATTCAAATTGGTAGATTCATATGAATTGTACTGCTTTTGAAGTCATCTAAATGCATGGAGTACTATTTCTGGTTACATTAGCATTTACCCTGCAACAGAGCCGGTCTACCTTGCTTATGCACTCGAATAGAACTTGCAAACAGAATTCCTGGAAATCACATCAAATCTGCAACATGTGCAATGGCAAGAGTTTTTACAGATTATCAGAGCTTGAATAAAGGGAAGAAACTTTACATTTGTTAAAGGATGACGGAATTGCCCACAGTAATATATGATCCCTTATGTGATATTATATCTAAGGCATCAAAAGCAGAAAAGTAAATTAGATTTGATATTGAATTTGACAGCAAAATACTGAATGAGTGCTGATATGGATAAATAACAGAAAAAATAGACTTGCATCTGCCACTACCCTTTTAAACAATTCATCATTAGGTTTGGCCAAATGGATGTATAAATATACGGTTCCTAACCAAATTTGTTTCACTCGTGTTACAGGACATACTTAGTCTGTAAAAACACTAAGTAGTAAACTGAAAAATCCAAAAGTTAAATTTCAGTGAGCATGTGAAGCCACCATTAGGAAACATAGATTGTTCACAAGATCATAACATGAAAAGACATTGAAATAAACTGGACTTGCCTGCTATTCCAGGAAGGGTCACAGCAAGTTGTGCAAAAGCAATTAAGCTAGGATCAGATGAAAAGGTACTGACCAAATGATCAACAGTAACAGAATTAGGACACTGTTGTTATTGATATTGGATCAGATGCTCCTAAACTTGTCAAACCCAACACCTGGATTGGGGAGGACAAATTAAAATTCCTCCATAAACAGGAATAAATTAAGGTAAGGATCAATCTATAATAACTATTTGACATTATCACCTTGTGCATCGCACGGGACATCAAGGACTGACACCCTACAGGATCATCCACTACGAACAGCTCCAACTTCCGGTTGATATAGATACACCAGAATTAAATGGGTCATTCTTATCCCCAGCACTCCCCCAAGGTTTATCGTCGAAGAAAAACAATTGGAAGGATCTAACATGTTGCAAGTTTACACTATTTAATAGAAATGGAGCACCCTGACACACTAATCAGGTACCGCTCTATCACTAAAGGCCAGTACGAGGTCACAAACACGAACTGTCTTCAACTGCAACCAGTAACAATTGAACCATCAAAAAAATTGCAATTTTTCAAAATCCATCTGTCCATTAGAGCCCAGTTAATGTAGTTCTTCAATGAAACTTAAACAATCTCTTCTTATAACTGTATATGTCCTAGCAAAGCTATACTGTACAAGAGGGCTTGGGTTTACTAACAAAGAAACAAAAAAATCCTCAAAGAAAGTGTAAAGAATATAGAAGAAAATATCAGATATCATGTTAAACCTAGCAAATTTGTAAAAGACAACTTCAATTTTTTCTTGCAGGAGAAAGAAAACATAAAGATTTCGGAATTGCAACCATTTAAATCGTTATCAGAATCTGTAAAACTTACAATAGAACGTTCTGGTAGAATGCAAGGAGTAACTTCACAAAAGCTTGTTCTGAATAATGTTCAGTTTCTCTGACAGTAACTTCAAGAGGGGCATACACAGGGAGACCAGTGTCAACATCGACAGTTGAATCCAGCGAGATTCCGTTGCAAGGACGTACAAATGCCTAAATGCCTGTAAAAGTACACTTCATGAAAAAAAGATGCTAAAAAGGTAACATAAAAACTGTTTCTGGCATACCTGAAGGTGGCAGCGATTATCATTTGGTCCAGAAGGCAAGCGTGGATAAAGAGAAATCAATAAAGCAGCAATAGAACTGTTGCTCGTTGAAAATGTTCGCATTCCACCCCCAAGAAACAAGAAGCCAATGGCTAAACTTACCTAAAAAACCAGCACGTGGTAGGAAATAAAGGAACATAAGCTGTTGTAAGACAAAAACCTGCTAACTGAATGCATTCCAAAGGGTACACACAAACATGGTGGATTCCTCTAAGCAGGGAGTTTAGATGAATTAACATCATAAAATGCTATTTGTCCCATAGACACTGTAGTAGCACGCATGAGATCAAACAATATTAATGAGCTTAGTCCTGGCCTTGGCCTCTACCATCTTAGACTAGCAACCAATTATGTTTTGGCAGGTCAGTACAAACTACATTGAAAATATAGAGAATATAATCAAAACATAAGGAGCTAAAGCACCTAAGATCTACTCTCCAAGTCTGAAAACTGTAAAACAAAATATTTAAAAACACAATCCAATCAACTTTATCCTCATCAATTTCTAGGAATAAATAACATAATAATTAATTTGAGTGTCACATACAAAATTTCAAGTTTTTAAGCATATTTTAGAAAATCATATGCAGAAACTCTTACTGCCATCTGGATGCCATAATTTGCATTGCCATTGCAGAATTTCGACTGCGAAGAAATCTCAACAACCGAAAGTTTGTAGGTGTCCTGAACCAGCCATTACCTGTCCTCAGACCAATCTAAAAGAAAAAATAAAAACAAAAACCTTAGCCACTACTGTTTTATGTAATTGAAAATAGGAAAAGGGAAAAAAGGGACTTTATTCTTTTATGTACCACAGACAAGGAAGAAAAAAAAGGTGAAGGCATATTTCTACGTGCACGATCTACATAGCGAGACAATCCCTTTGGAAAGGCATTTCGACTTGTACCGAAACAGGCTTGATTGCTGACATTAAAGTATAAGTTTTTACAACTAAATAAGCAGTAAATTATACAGAGCAGGATGAAACTGTATGACCTCATTTAGGAAGTAGACAGCGTATTCATAAAGTAACTCCTGCACATTTGCTTCTTGTACCAGCAAATCTTAACCCTGCCATAATAAATGATAAAGATAATGGAATTTATAGATATATTTTCTATAAACGAAAGATACAATGAAGCATAAATTATTTCCGTAATTTGCTGCAAAATATTTGAATGCGAGCTTAATTTAGCATTCACAACAATAAAAGTAAACAAAAAGATTATGAACCCAGATACTCGATTTGAAATAGGCCAATTTTTTCTAATCTTTGCTCAATCTGTAAAAATTACTGCATAGATGAGCGTCTTTGATCATTCAAAATCATTATAATTTAGTGAAGGGACGAAAATCTGCAAATTTGTGGAACTGTTCCACGAGGCTGTTTTTGCTTTTAAATAACTTTTATTTTCATAAATGTATTTAAGGATATTTTTGATATTTCACACCTCGATTAAGATTTTACCATTAAATTATGAATGACAGGGTAAGTTTGAAGAGTTTTATAAATTTCAAGGAATTGCAGTGAAGTTTACTCAAACTCAAGGGAGGCCACTGATATTTACCCTAATCCTTGTAAATTTTATTTTAAACTTTTTAGTGATTTAATTACGAAGAAAGCATACACAAGAAATAAAAATCAATATCATACATATAGATGAATCAGTAGAAATAACGTACCAAGAGAAATACATGCCCAGCCACTATATTGGCATATGCCTGGACGAAGGTTTCTGCATCCATTTCATCACATCCTGTATCATTCTAAGGGCATCGATGCTATGTTTGACAATTTCAGGAATCTGGGACGAATCCAATCTTCAGAGGGGGGAAACTCTGATACAATAAAGCTCATTAATTTAATTATAAAGAGTAGTTAAGTAGATGAAAGTTCAATCACCAGATTAGTTAAACAGACTAGCTGTACCTGTTCCACATTATTAAATTCCGAGCAATGACACGAAGCATAATGAAATCAGGCGCACATATTGCAAATCAAAATGTGTTTGGGATGGAAAGCCTAGAAACAATTGCCTCTGATTCAGTCTGTTATAGTACAAAGGAGGACAAAGTAAGAAAACCTGACACACATCAATGAGAATGTGAAATAGTCTGTACCTAAGAAAGTTGACAGCCTATGCACTGCTTTGATGCATCTTTTCAAGCCCTAAAGATGCATGAACTGGGTCAAACAATTCTAAACGCCTGTAATACAAATAACATATTATATAATTAGGTCAAATTTTGTTTGGCTGAGGAAGATGTCAATGTCAATAAAGTCTCAGGAAACTTCTAGATGCCGACCAATGTAATGCCACAGTTTTGTTTCCCCATTGACAGAAATAAGTGCCTGCCTTGACGCTTATGGAATAATTAAACATCACACCTTTTATAGTTGGGAAACAGAAATGGAGTTCAATAATCAATAAGGTCAATATATAAGATAGACATCACAGAAAAATGTGAAGTGCCTGCCTTGGCCTCTATGGCATAATTAAACATCGCCAGGTTCACACCTTTGACAGCAGGGCAACATGATGCCCTTAGAAAAGGTCTTACATAGCACATAAATCACGTGAAGAATTGAAGATAGTTATACGAGCTTACTGAGTTTATGTTATCTTATATTACTTTATTGTTACGTTTGGTTTTCAAGTAATATAAGATTTTGATCATTTTTAAATATCAATAGTAATTACTGTTAGTAATATTGGAGGTAATTTGATTAACTCTATTTTCTTAGGTGTTTTAAGATTATCAGGGTATTTTTTTTTTCAATTCTATCTCTTATTAATAAAATTTTTGGACAATAATACCCTTATTTTTAAATTTATTTACATGAATATGGCTTTTACTATTTCGCCTCAATTAATTAACTTTTTGGATAAAATTACCCTTAAATTTAAAACAAATTACAGCACACCCAAGCCACCACGCCTACCCACTTGCCTCCTACAACCACTGTAGTGGTCAACTGTCGCCGCAGCCAAAATGGCGCACGGAAGATCGAAAATGGCCATTGTGCGCCGAAATGGCCATCAAAGGCCAAATCCCAGATCGGCCATGTCTGTGGCCGTCAACGGCCATCGATTTCGTCGTTGACTGCTAGATCAACAAATCTGGCTGTCGACGGCTAGATTTGTCACGTCTGGTCATTTCCTGCCAAATCTCTGGTAAAAAATGGCCATACGACGCACGAATGCCATTTCCTGCCTTCCGTGCGTCGTTAGGTTGTCGGCTGCCGACGACCGACAGTGATTGGGTTGGTGAGGGTGTTTTGTTGATTTTCCAAACTTTTATTATGAGGTTGTTTTTGCTAAGTTTTTAAATGCAATGGGTTATATAATCCAGATAATAATCACCATTAAAAAATAATATAATAATAATAATATTTAATTAGAGGACAATTCAATAATTTAAATAACATACCCACCAATTTATTCATCCCAACTAAACATATTAATATAACATACCCATCAATTAACCAAACACATTTTCCTAAAGATTCCCAATAATCTTCAAAGTAATCTAACTTTCTAGTAATCTAACATTCCTTGAACCAAACGTCTCCTTAAAGTATGAATAATTTGTATATGTAAACCATGTGAATCATTTGATCGTATATGAAAATATGAGGCTCCGTTTGTTACACTCTTGGGAATACTATTATTAGTATTCCCAATAAAGTTAAACAGTAAAATTAACTTATTTTTAAAATATTATTCTATATTATTCAATTTTTTTTAAACCTCCCTAAATTTGTTAATTTAACTAAACACCCTTAAATATTTTTTTTAGAAATTGCAAAAACACCCCAACTATCCTCCGAGGGTAGTGGCCAACTATCCGTATTTAATGAGTGGGTTGGGGGTGTTTTTGTTAACTTTTAATATTTTATTATAGAGGTGTTGAATAAATAAACAAACATAATAAGTATTTTTGTTAATTTTTAAATCCTATATTATAATATCCACCCAATTTAATTTTTTTCAAAATATTATTCTAAAAAGTATCAGAATAATTATCCAAACGAACTTGAGACTTTTTCCAATTGGGAAGTATGTCATTTTGTCTTCTTCCTAAAGATTATAGGATTTCGTGCAACCCTAATTTTGAACTTAGATTCACAAAACAAGTTCGAAAGATATCTAAACTATTATTATTATTTAAAAGAAAAACATACATATAATTCATACTTAAATATTCTCAAGACATGCCCTTCAAAGAAGTTTCCGCCATATATGTACAGATTTTGGCAAGGTCTTGTACTACATGGAACTATGTTACCAATGTCAAGTAATTACATTTTTCAGAAGGAAACTGAACAGGATTCAATTCAAGTAACAGCAGAATTATGAGTCTTCATATCATACCCATAAGAGCTTCGAAGAAGACTGGATGAAACAGGGAAAGGAACCTTTTATAGTGGCTTCCTGTTAATGTAGAATCACAATCAATACCCAGAAAAAAGCTAAATTTCCTGAAGCAGATGCAAATATGTAGAGAAATTCTTGGTAGAACAACTCACCTCAATGCTTATAATCCGAAGCTTGGTGAAGTCAAGGTAGACGGTAGTCATAAAGAGAGACATTATTTGAACCATGTAGAGGGTTTTGCAGATAACAGAAACAGGTTTAGCATCCCCATTACTGGAAATACATCAGAAGCATATTGTAAGTAGCAATTTTTATGTGCATTTGGAAACAGATTAACACCATAATACCATGAAATTCACATAACACAGCAATAGAAGTCTTGAAGGTTCCAGACTAATCACTCAGGTTTTGTGATTATAGGCTTATAGCTAACAAGTTTTACTTTTACACTGTAAATAATCAGCAGTAATGTGCTTGTTCACTACATAAAGTTTGTTGAATCAAAAAAAGATGTCAAAACATTCCAAATTAGTGTTCTAATTTGCTTTAAACTGCAGCCACATCAATATTTCAAAATATCCAGCGAAGGATCCACAGATTCAATTAGCAGTAACCTAAGGAGTAACATTCATAAATATAGTAAAATTTCTTTTCTACCATTTCCTAAACAGATGAACTAAACAAACAAACAAATGAAAAAGATGTGCATTTGGAAACGGATTAACACCATAATACCATGAACAACTCAAATAACACACAATACAAATCTTGAAGGTTCCAGACTAATCACTCCGGTTTTGTGCTTATAGGCTTATAGCTAATAAGTTTTACTTTTACACTGTAAATAATCAAAGCAGTAATCTGCTTGTTCACTACATAAAGTTTGTTAAATCGGAAAAAGATGTTCAAAACATTCCAAATTAGTGTTCTAATTTGCTTTAAAATTCATGCACTTTCATCACATTCCAGTTCATATCATCATATATCACACACTATGAACATACATATGTTGAATATTTGATATCAGACAACAAAATTTTCAGATCATTACATACAAAATACAGATAAAGAGACTTATAAGCTATAAGTAAGAGCTCAGTCCACATCAATACTTCAAAATATTAAGCGAAGGATCCACAGATTCAATTACCAATAACCTGAAACTTAATTTCCTTTCTAAAGAAGATACACATATTTTGAAATTCAACAAGAATACACCCTCAATTTGATCAAATATCAAGTGAAATACAAAGCAATTATCAACATATATTAGAAGTAAAGGATATTCAAATTCAATTAGCAGTAACCTAAGGAGTAACATTCATAAATATATTAAATCTTTTTTTTTTCTATCATTTCCTGAACAGAGGAACTAAATAAACGAACAAATGAAAACCACCACCAACATATTAATACTACAGAAATATTATTACTCTAAAAGTCTTCATCCATTTTGAATACGTGGGTGGTTCCATTGGCGTTAATACTTGACATAATTGAAGCCTTCTGATACTCCCCAACTCTCTTCTCAAAGAAATTAGTCTTTCCTTGAAGCGAAATCAGCTCCATCCAATCAAAAGGATTTGTCACACCGTAGACCTTCCCGTACCCGAGCGCACCCAACAGCCGATCTGCAACGAACTCAATGTATTGACTCATTAACTCCCCGTTCATTCCGACCAGCGCGCACGGCAGCGCGTCGCACACAAACTCCCTTTCTATATCCACCGCCTCCTTCACAATCCCCTTCACGCGCTCCTCACTTAACTTCGTCCTCAACAGACTGTACAACAAGCACGCGAAGTCACAGTGCAGTCCCTCGTCACGCGAGATCAACTCGTTAGAGAAAGTTAATCCCGGCATTAACCCGCGTTTTTTAAGCCAAAAGATAGAGCAAAAACTCCCCGAGAAAAAAATCCCTTCCACGCAAGCAAACGCAACTAATCTCTCGGCGAAAGTCTCCGAACCGTCGATCCAATTTAACGCCCAGTTTGCCTTTCTAGCCACACACGGCACCGTTTCAATCGCGTGAAACAAACGAGTCTTTTCTGCAGAATCTTTAATATAAGTTTCGAGAAGAAGCGAGTACATTTCCGAGTGGATATTCTCAATCGCGATTTGGAAGCCGTAGAAGGCGCGCGCCTCAGCGACTTGGACCTCCTTCATGAACCGCCCAGCGAGGTTTTCGAGAACGATGCCATCGGAGGCAGCGAAGAAAGCCAGAACGTGCGTAATGAAGTGCTTCTCATCGGGGGTTAGGGTTTCCCAGTGACGGAGATCCGGAGACAAATCGACCTCCTCGGCGGTCCAAAACGACGCCTCAGCTTTCTTGTACATCTCCCAGATTTGTGGGTACTGTATCGGAAACATACAGAACCGGTCAGGGTTCGAGGCGAGAAGTGGCTCTTCAGGGATCGAAGGCATTTTGATAACTTCACTAATTTAGATAGAGCAATGGAGTAGTTTTTGAATTCTGGATTGCTATGGACTGTGGAGAGGATTGTTCGGTTTTATAGAGGAAAATTGAGAGGGGAAGACGAAGATTTGAAATTTTAGGCTTAGGGGTAATTTTGAGAATTCGGATTAAATTCTGAGACGTGGATAGTTTTTGTGTGGTTGTGGGACTATTTTGAGAGTGAAATTACGTATTTAGAAATTCATTTATGGAGTTTGAAATTTGGGGGCAAAGCTTGTGAGGGAAGCTTTTAGAGTTTTAAAGAAGTTTAAAATTTAGCGGGAGTTTTAATGGGCGCGAGGTTCGGATTTCGAGCTGAGTTGGTACTTGGTAAGTTGAAGTGGCTGGCACATAGAGAGCAATAGCATGAACGTTACGTGAGGCGGGTCTTAATTGGGGTTAGCACAAGCATGAGGCGCTCACTTGTGGAAGTCACGTGCCACCTTGTGGGTTTGTGTAGCATAATTGTGGTCGGCTTTGGTTAGGTAAGTGAAATTGTGCAAAAGAGATTTCCCCCTCAAAATGAAATTGTGCGAAAGAGACTTCCCTCCCAAAATGAAGTCTCATTTGGGTTTACAATGATTTCAAATTAAAGTCTATTTTAATTTTTAAGGTACTCAATTTTAACATATGTTAAAAGAGAAAGTATTTTTGAATCATATACATGGTTTTACAACGAATGGCTAAAACCCGTTTTAATCATTGAACCGGATTAACTTGAGGTTGAACCAACAAGAATAGTGTCAAACCGCGATTCAACCGTTAGGTTAAAGAATGAACTGCGATTCTAGATAGATTTATTAATTATTAGAGTTTTCAATAATTACAGTGTTGAATCATAGTTCAACCACCAGGTCAGAGAATGAACCAATCAAATCGCTCGACCTATGAACCAACCTCTTGACCAAATCAAGGCCTGCTTCAAGTATAAAAACATTGATTAGATTTTGGTACAACCATCCAAGCATGAAGTGTCATACTAGTGCGAGACTGGATGATTATACCAACATAAAAAAAGGGTTACACTATATGGGTTTTGGGCCTTTTGGCTTAGTTTAATTTTCATACAGGGTTGAAGTGTTAGATTCCCGTCAAATCTAACTAAAGAAAAAGAAACCTAGCGGCAAGAGGTCTTGATGGCCTTTCGATAATTTAAGGGGTTTAAGTTAGTTTTGAAAGTTTCAAGGGGTCTGAATGTTATTAACCGTATTTGATGGGATGGTTTAAGTGATGCTTGGTTAATATATACTCAAATTCAACTTTGTAAAATTTTATCTTCTTACCGATTGGGGTAAATTAGTAAAAGAAGACGCGGCTTTCACTGAGAGCATTTTTTCATAGTTATCATAATACAAACGCCTCGTGTCGTTTTATGTTCAAACCACTGACCTACGTGTCGTCAATGCTTCCTCAGTTTGCCACATGGGCACACCACGTGTCAATGAAGTAACTTGATTAGAACCCATATAAATGCCTGATTGGACTTCCTCAGTTAGAATCATAATTCACAGTATGAATGTTAGTATTACAAAGGATCAACCGCGCACGCTCAGTTTCCGCTTTAAGTTGGCGAAATTCTAATCGTTTCTTTACAGGTTTTAACTTCAGCCCAGACGAAGAAAACATGTCTTCAGATCAACAACGAGCTGAACTTGACGCCAGGGCCAGGCAAGGTGAGGTTGTGGTGCCTGGTGGAACTGGTGGCAAAAGTCTTGAAGCCCAAGAACACCTTGCTGAAGGTAAACTAATTACATAATGAAAAATTCTATTTTTCTTTTAATGTGTTTTTAACGAGTGCTTTCGAGAACATATATAATTACAATTTGTTTTGTTATGGAAACAAAAGGGAGGAGCCGTGGAGGGCAGACAAGGAGGGAGCAGCTGGGGACAGAAGGGTACCAGGAAATGGGCCGGAAAGGTGGGCTCAGCACGGGTGACCAGTCCGGCGAGGAACGTGCTTCTCAGGAGGGAATTCCGATCGACGAGTCCAAGAGTTAAAAACTGTGTTTTAATAGTTGATGAAATGATATAGCTGATGAACTTGTATTGTAGATATAGTTGTTCCTTGTTTAGGTTTTAAATTCCCGTCTTTGTACTAGCTTTTTGCAGGTAAGTTAGAGGTGATCACAATTCACAACCGTACGTTATGTATCTGTGTCAGATTTCAGGTTCTGGGTCGTTGATAAAATTCTCAGGGAACGACTTTTGTTACTATGTAGAGGCATGTAATTTTGTCCAAGCCTTTTCTTTGATACCTCTGGATGTACTCGCGTATCTCATATACGTAACTTTGCATGCAGTATCCAGCTTTTGGATTTGAATTTCAAAAACAAAAAGAAAACGATAAAGGCTTGACTTTGAGGATAACGGTGAAGTTTTACTTACATGGTAGAATCTTTACAGTACTGTCTGTTTTTCCGGTGCATTGGTATTTGGTAGTACAGCCGAACCAGAGAGGTGCTGCCCTGTAAAATTTATGGATTCAGATTAAATCTGTAGAAATATGCAAAAAAAAAATAATTTCATATTTTATGTTAACCGGAAATCTGCCGGAGGCGCAGCTTGTTGTCGTTGCTGACAATACTGAATGGCCACCTCTTGAACGGTTGAACCTATAAGGCTATAAGTTACCTTCCATTCTCTTCCTAAGAGAAACTATAGATAAAGATTGGCCGAACANGAAGTCTTGATGGCCTTTCGATAATTTAAGGGGTTTAAGTTAGTTTTGAAAGTTTCAAGGGGTCTGAATGTTATTAACCGTATTTGATGGGATGGTTTCAGTGATGCTTGGTTAATATATACTCAAATTCAACTTTGTAAAATTTTATCTTCTTACCGATTGGAGTAAATTAGTAAAAGAAGACGCGGCTTTCACTGAGAGCATTTTTTCATAGTTATCATAATACAAACGCCTCGTGTCGTTTTATGTTCAAACCACTGACCTACGTGTCGTCAATGCTTCCTCAGTTTGCCACATGGGCACACCACGTGTCAATGAAGTAACTTGATTAGAACCCATATAAATGCCTGATTGGACTTCCTCAGTTAGAATCATAATTCACAGTATGAATGTTAGTATTACAAAGGATCAACCGCGCACGCTCAGTTTCCGCTTTAAGTTGGCGAAATTCTAATCGTTTCTTTACAGGTTTTAACTTCAGCCCAGACGAAGAAAACATGTCTTCAGATCAACAACGAGCTGAACTTGACGCCAGGGCCAGGCAAGGTGAGGTTGTGGTGCCTGGTGGAACTGGTGGCAAAAGTCTTGAAGCCCAAGAACACCTTGCTGAAGGTAAACTAATTACATAATGAAAAATTCTATTTTTCTTTTAATGTGTTTTTAACGAGTGCTTTCGAGAACATATATAATTACAATTTGTTTTGTTATGGAAACAAAAGGGAGGAGCCGTGGAGGGCAGACAAGGAGGGAGCAGCTGGGGACAGAAGGGTACCAGGAAATGGGCCGGAAAGGTGGGCTCAGCACGGGTGACCAGTCCGGCGAGGAACGTGCTTCTCAGGAGGGAATTCCGATCGACGAGTCCAAGAGTTAAAAACTGTGTTTTAATAGTTGATGAAATGATATAGCTGATGAACTTGTATTGTAGATATAGTTGTTCCTTGTTTAGGTTTTAAATTCCCGTCTTTGTACTAGCTTTTTGCAGGTAAGTTAGAGGTGATCACAATTCACAACCGTACGTTATGTATCTGTGTCAGATTTCAGGTTCTGGGTCGTTGATAAAATTCTCAGGGAACGACTTTTGTTACTATGTAGAGGCATGTAATTTTGTCCAAGCCTTTTCTTTGATACCTCTGGATGTACTCGCGTATCTCATATACGTAACTTTGCATGCAGTATCCAGCTTTTGGATTTGAATTTCAAAAACAAAAAGAAAACGATAAAGGCTTGACTTTGAGGATAACGGTGAAGTTTTACTTACATGGTAGAATCTTTACAGTACTGTCTGTTTTTCCGGTGCATTGGTATTTGGTAGTACAGCCGAACCAGAGAGGTGCTGCCCTGTAAAATTTATGGATTCAGATTAAATCTGTAGAAATATGCAAAAAAAAAATAATTTCATATTTTATGTTAACCGGAAATCTGCCGGAGGCGCAGCTTGTTGTCGTTGCTGACAATACTGAATGGCCACCTCTTGAACGGTTGAACCTATAAGGCTATAAGTTACCTTCCATTCTCTTCCTAAGAGAAACTATAGATAAAGATTGGCCGAACACAGCCACCTCTTGCCACGTAGATGTACCACGTGTAAGCTAATCATATAAATATCAGAAGGCTAATGCTATGACATTAGTATTTACGTAATTTAATACAGTAATACTACATATACAAACAAATCTTACAAAACACAAAATAAATGATAGAATGAATATGATGAGTTTAATTTTGTATATTCACTCATCCATTTATTTTATGTCACATCAATTTGTACACAAATCTTTATAAGATTTGTTTGTACATCTAGTATTATTGAATTTAACATCACATTAATGTTATGTGGATCTTTATGTCGCGTGACATATCACTTTGTACAAGCTCTCTTTGTACAAATAGTTTTATCTATACCAAAATTCTGGAGAATAAATTGTTATTCATTCATTTTTTTTTTTATAACTCTAAAATGTAATTCTTATGTTATATAAAATATATTTTTAGGCAGTAAAAAGAATTAAAAAACAACTTAAAATCCTTATAAATTTTCAAAATTATAAACTAAATTGATGTAAATTATATATTGAAGACAGCAATTACACATCCTTTGTTTTTTTCGTTTTTGATATACTCATCGACTTATATCCCTAATAGAGGTGACTATTGGTGTTCTTATTCGATCAATAGTTTTAAGATATTTTTTATTCGATTAATAGTTTTAAGATCCTAAGAGATTAGTTGAAGTACACAATCCTATCAAGTTCTATCTCTAATAGAGATTGTCACTAAAGTTATTACTCGATCAATAGTTTCGGATTATAATAAATTAGTTAAAATAAACATAAAGTGCGGCGTTTAAAAAAAAAAAAGATATATCAATGGAAGAACAAATGAACTCTTACTATAGCACTATCTTTATATTATTTTGTTTCTTTTGTACACATAATAATTAGATCCTGATTCAGTCAGGATCGTATATTTAAGGGCTAGTTTTTTCATCTCCACAAACTGAGTGCACAGCTCTTTCTTTGTGCAAAACCGAAACCAACTTCGTCAGTGTAATCCATCGTTCTTTCTCAAACCTATGTTTATGACAAGTTGAAATGAGCTTCAGAACATTTCTTCTCAAAGACCTCTGTCACCAATACAATGGCGAGTCGAGCTGCAAACACCAAATTTCTGAAGTTTGCTCTTTCTTTTGGAAAAAAAAATGGAGAAGAGGGAAGAAAAGCCTTAAACCTAGCTTCAGTTGTTGGAAGAGAACAACTTATCTATCTCACCAAGGGCATTGATGTGAGTGGTTGGAAATAACAAACGCAACAAAGGAACCAAAGATGATGAAACTAGATTGGGCTTGATTTTCTCCACGGCCGACTTGATAAGGGATGGAACCGGCACGCTGAACCACTTAAGATACCATGAAAGTAGTACTAAATTTTTCTCTTCTTTGGATTCTTCTTCGTCATGCCATCTTCCTGAGTTCAGATACTTTCTCAAATCAATTTTAAATCCATCTGAACAACTAAGAATGTCTTCCACTCGCTTCCTAAGAGACCCCATGAAGATTGGTTGAACAATGCCTCCTCTTGAAGCAGATAATCTTCCACTTAACAGAGCTTCATTATAGGCGAGCACAAGCTGCGGTAGAAGATGGATAGTGAAAAACTTGAAATGTAAATAATCGTGTTCTTTAATAAAAAAGGATAACAGAAACTTACCTTCAAATTGGATATAAGGAGCGAGTCACTTACAATGACATTGTCATTGGTGACCTGCTCGGCCATTGACCTAACCGTCGTGTATAATGACAAGTAGACCTAGACAAATAAGCAAATGGATTATGATGGTGAGCATATTACGGGTATTCAAATTGGTAGATTCATACGAATTGTACTGCTTTTGAAGTCATCGAAATGCATGGAGATCCTATTTCCAGGTTACATTAGCATTTACCTGCAACAGAGCCGGTCTATCCTTGCTTATGCACTCGAATAGAACTTGCAAACAAAATTCCTGGAAATCACCATCAAATCTGCAACATGTGCAATGGCAAAGAGTTTTTACAGATTATCAGAGCTTGAATAAAGGGAAGAAACTTCTACATTTTGTATAAAGGATGACGGAATTGCCACAGTAATATATGATTCCACTATGTGATATTATATCTAAGGCATCAAAAGCAGAAAAGTAAATTAGATTTGATATTGAATTTGACAGCAAAATACTGAATGAGTGCTGATATGGATAAATAACAGAAAAAATAGACTTGCAACTGCCACTACCCTTTTAAACAATACATCATTAAGGTTTGGCCAAATGGATTGTATAAATATACGGTTCCTAACCCAAATTTGTTTCACTCCGTGTTACAGGACATACTTAGACTGATAAAACACTAAGTAGTAAACTGAAAAATCCAAAAGTTAAATTTCAGTGAGCATGCTGAAGCCACCATTAAGGAAACATAGATTGCTTCTACAAGATCATAACATGAAAAGACATTGAAATAAACTGGACTTGCCTGCTATTCCAGGAAGGGTCACAGCAAAGTTGTGCAAAAGCAATTAAGCTAGGATCAGATGAAAAGGTACTGACCAACTGATCAACAGTAACAGAATTAGGACCACTGTTGTTATTGATATTTGGATCAGATGCTCCTAAACTTGTCAAACCCAACACCTGGATTGGGGAGGACAAATTAAAATTCCTCCATAAACAGGAATAAATTAAGGTGAGGATCAATCTATAATAACTCTTATGACATTATCACCTTATGCATCGCACGTGACATCAAGGACTGACACCCTACAGGATCATCCACATACGAACAAGCTCCAACCTTCCGTTTGATATAGATAACACCAGAATTAAATGGGTCATTCTTATCCCCAGCACTCCACCAAGGTTTATCTGTCGAAGAAAAACAATTGGAAGGATCTAAACATGTTGCAAGTTTACACTATTTAATAGAAATGGAGCACCATGACACACTAACCTTCAGGTACCAGCTCTATCACTAAAGGCCAGTATCGAGGTCCACAAACACGAACTGTCTTCAACTGCAACCAGTAAACAATTGAACCATCAAAAAAATTGCAATTTTTCTAAAATCCATCTGTCCATTTTAGAGCCCAGTTAATGTAGTTCTTTCAATGAAACTTAACAATCTCTTCTTATAACTGTATATGTCCTAGCAAAGCTATACCTGTACAAGAGGGCTTCGGGTTTACTAACAAAGAAACAAAAAAATCCTCAAAGAAAGTGTAAAGAATATAGAAGAAAATATCAGATATCATGTAAAACCTAGCAAATTTGTAACAGACAACTTCAATTTTTTCTTGCAGGAGAAAGAAAACATAAAGATTTCTGGAATTGCAACCATTTAAATCGTTACTCATGAATCTGTAAAACTTACAATAGAACGTTCTGGCAGAATGCAAGGAGTAACTTCACAAAAGCTTGTTTCTGAATAATGTTCAGTTTCTCTGACAGTAACTTCAAGAGGGGCATACACAGGGAGACCAGTGTCAACATCGACAGTCTGAATCCAGCGAGATTCCGTTGCAAGGACGTACAAATGCCTAAATGCCTGAAAAAGTACACTTCATGAAAACAAGATGCTAAAAGAGTAACATAAAAACTGTTTCTGGCATACCTGAAGGTGGCAGCGATTATCATTTGGTCCAGAAGGCAAGCGTGGATAAAGAGAAATCAATAAAGCAGCAATAGAACTGTTGCTCGTTGAAAATGTTCGCATTCCACCCCCAAGAAACAAGAAGCCAATGGCTAAACTTACCTAAAAAACCAGCACATGGTAGGAAATATAAGGAACATAAGCTGTTGTAAGACAAAAACCTGCTCAACTGAATGCATTCCAAATGGGTACACACAAACATGGTAGCATTCCTCTTAAGCAGGGAGTTTAGATGAATTAACATCATAAAATGCTATTTGTCCCATAGACACTGTAGTAGCACGCATGAGATTGAATAATATTTAATGAGCTCTAGTCCTGGCCTTGGCCTCTACCATCTTAGACTCAGCAACCAATTATGTTTTTGGCAGGTCAGTACAAACTACATTGAAAATATAGAGTACATAATCAAAACATAAGGAGCTAAAGCACCTATAGATCTTACTCTCCAAGTCTGAAAACTGTAAAATAAAATATTATAAAAGCACAATCCATTCAACTTTATCCTCATCAATTTCTAGGAATATTAATAATATTATAATATAATTTGAGTGTCCACATTCAAAATTTCAAGTTTTTTAGCATATTTTAGAAAAATCATATGCAGAAACTCTTACTGCCATCTGGATGCCATAATTTGCATTGCCATCTGCAGAATTTCGACTGCGAAGAAATCTCAACAACCGAAAAGTTTGTAGGTGTCCTGAACCAGCCATTACCTGTCCTCAGACCAATCATAAAAAGAAAAAATAAAAAACAAAAACCTTAGCCACTACTGTTATTTATGTAATTGAAAATAGGAAAAGGGCAAAAAAGGACTTTTATTCTTTTATGTACCACAGACAAGGAAAGAACAACCAGGTGAAGGCATATTTCTAGCGTGCATCGATCTACATAGCGAGACAATCCCTTTGGAAAGGCATTTCGACTTGTACCGGAAACAGGCTTGATCTGCTGACATTAAAGTATAAGTTTTTACAACTAAATAAGCAGTAAATTTATACAGAGCAGGATGAAACTGTATGACCTCATTTAGGAAGTAGACAGCGTATTCATAAAGTAACTCCTGCACATTTGCATTCTTTGTACCAGCAAATCTTAACCCTGCCAATAATAAATGATAAAGATAATGGAATTTATAGATATATTTTCTATAAACGAAAGATACAATGAAGCATTAAATTAATTTCCAGTAATTTGCTGCAAAAATATTTGAATGCGAGCTTAATTTAGCATTCACAACAATAAAAGTAAACAAAAAAGATATATGAACCCAGATATTCGATTTAAAATAGGCCAATTTTTTCTAATCTTTGCTCAATCTGTAAAAATTACTGCGCATAGATGAGCGTCTTTGATCATTCAAAATCATTATAATTTTAGTGAAGGGACGAAATCTGCAAATTTGTGGAACTGTTCCACGAGGCTGTTTTTTGCTTTTAAATAACTTCTTATTTTTATAAATGTATTTAAGGATATTTCTGATATTTTCACACCTCGATTAAGATTTTACCATTAAATTATGAATGACAGGGTAAGTTTGAAGAGTTTTTTTAAATTTCAAGGAATTGCAGTGAAGTTTACTCAAACCTCAAGGGAGGCCACTGATATTTACCCTAAATCTATTTGTAAATTTTATTTTAAATTCTTTTTAGTGATTTTAATCACATAGAAAGCATACACAAAATAAAAATCAATATCATACATATAGCATGAATCAGTAGAAATAACGTACCAAGAGAAATACATGCCCCAGCCACTATATTGACATAGGCCTGGACAAAGGTTTCTGCATCCATTTCATCAACATCACTGTTATCATCTCTAAGGGCATCGATGCTATGTTTGACAATTTCAGGAATCTGGGACTGAATCCAATCTTCAGAGGGGTGAACTCTGATACAATAAAGCTCATTAATTTAATTATAAAGAGTAGTTAAGTAGATGAAAGTTCAATCACCAGATTAGTTAAACAGACTAGCTGTACCTGTTCCACATTATTAAATTCCGAGCAATGACACGAAGCATAATGAAATCAGGCCGCACATATTGCAAATCAAAATGTGTTTGAGGGATGGAAAGCCTAGAAACAATTGCCTCTGATTCAGTCTGTTATTAGTACAAAGGAGGACAAAGTGAGAAAACCCTGACACATCAATGAGAATGTGAAATAGTCTGTACCTAAGAACGTTGACAGCCTAATGCACTGGTTGAAAAATTTCATATGAAATGTCAACTACCAAGCCTCTTTACCTTTAAAAACATTAAAGAAAGGGCAATAATAGCTCCAGGTGCAGTGACATCAACATTGACCATGGTTCCATCCATCATCTACAAAGCAAAAGTTCCCAACAAAAGGATCTCAATATCAATTGCTTCGGCAAAGAATATGCCCAAGTGGTATCCCTCTTGAGACAACATTAAAAGCATGGAAATTTTTTTATTTCAAATGTAGCTGACAGAACCTGCCCAGCACTACGGTTTTGCTCATCCGTTGACAGTGATAAGAAGTGTGATCTTTCCTGATGAAGAATTCAAGACAAAAGAAACAATTCAGAGAGAAACAAATTAAATAAAGTCCATTCAGTAGGAAACTGCGGACGATTCAGTTCTTAATGCACAGAACTTACAAAACATGGTGCAAACATACAAAAGTAATTCACCCAGCAAAAGTAAAATGAGAAAGAACAGAAGTCAACATAAGATAATTTTACCTTGTGAACTTCTTTGCCACCAATGTAGTGGAATAATCGACCAACCAAGGTATCTGTGAAACCAAGTGCATCATCTCCTCGACCTTCAGTTTTAAAATAAAACAATTAATAAGGTCACCACTTCACAAACAATTAACTAATTTAAATATTCAATTGCTTATACCCAATGCAACAAGGCCCAAAGCAAATCCAGCAGAAACCGCATGACCCTCCCTTTCAAGAACATTATCACCTCCACTTCTGCGACCTATTTCACCCTGTACATATCACACACAAGGTCAACTCAAGGCATCTAACATCTAACAAAGAATCTTTGAGGAAGATACTGAAACCCCAATGCTGTAGAAATCTATGGCATGATTCATACATAATATTCAGCATTGTAAGAAGAAACACTGAATGATGTGCAGTGATCATCAGTACTTAAGATGTAATTATATTCTCAGCCAGAAAAATAATGAGTTAAGCATCCCACGAGGAGCTGTCTCACATGGTGTAGAATAAAATAAAGAAGACCATTTTATTATTCACAGACTTGTGGCGTAAACGATTCTGAGGCAAGAAAAAATCTGCAGATTACACCAAGTACAAAACTTGGACTTGTTGACAACATTAGTAAAACTTTGTAAATAAACTAAACATTAAAAAATAAGAATGTAACATGCAATTAGCAACTAACTATTACCTATAGTCAACTAAGGGGAACCATTCGTGCTATAGTTCACTTTCAATTTTCACTTATATACATAATACAGCAAATGCATTTCTTTGAATGGTTCATTACATTGAATAATGTTGATGCTTTTTGACATCAAAATTTATATAGAGCAAAACATTGAGTAAATCAGAAAGCAAACAGGAAAAATAAAATACCAGAAGAATCTGCATAGTTTGCGGATGAGCTGATCCTTCATAAAGAAGTCCCACTGACATTAATGCTGCCGACTGCAGAATAAGACAAGAGATTGCATTGTTGAAATAAATATTAAGAAAATCACTGAGTAATCTTAAATATAATTTTTTCTTACGAATTAGTACAATTACTCATTTCAATGATAAATACAAATAAAACACATGTTATTCCCCATGATGCTAGAGTGTCCAGTAGTCAAATTTACCACTTCAGTACTAACTATAATAGCACCAAGAGAAAAAAAAAGTCACAGAATGATTGCAGCCTGACAAGAAATTTAAGGTAGGTAAATGGGGTTTTAATGATCTGTGGTGGCAAAAAGAATCCTGGGATGCATTTATTTACTGAGAAACACAAATAAAGATGCATAGATCAAGTGTGCAAAGTTCATTCTTGCTTGTACACACTCCTGAAGGATAAAACTTAAGAGGTGAATTTAAAGAGAAACAAAGACTGCGGTCTGATGATCTATACCTGCAGAATTGTTGGTAACTCCAACTCCACTGAAGATGGAAGCCTGGCAGGAATATGAACATAAAGGGACTGCCAAGGAAAAATTCAACAACTTAGCCTCAATTAACAAGCGTTGCATACAATATTCATTACAAGAAATCATATTAGATCCTTGAACAAAAAAGAGAAAGATATATCGATCTTTACAACTTAATAGGAGCTTAGGGCCATATTCAACTTGTACAAAATGACCAAAGACCTAAACAAGTACAATCTATCTAAAATGTGAGCCACTAAGTTGCAACAAAATGGCAGTAAGAGGAATTAAAAAGCAATATATGCTATAAAAGGGGCTATGAACAAATTTACTAGAAGGAGACCATACATAAATAGGTTCCTTATGATATGCTAATTCTTTCATTAACAAAGACGATAAAAAATAATAATAATAATAAAAAAAAAAATTATGCAAAGGGAGCAACATGCTATCACCTTTGATATTACTGGATGCATGGTCCCTCTATGAGAAACAGCGAGGCCAAGCATTAATCCAACAGTTGTGCTTTCATGTTCCTATAACAAAGATGCATCAGGAGAGCTAAATAAAACAGTGAGACTTGAAAGAAACACAAAAGATAATCAATTATGATGATTTGAACATTATAGGTAAAAGGCAGCACATTACTTCTACATATGATAACTTCAAAGTAATTTATTTATATATTTTATAAGAAACACGAATTTCAATAAGGAGCACATTACAAAAGGAAATGAACCAGAGGTCCATACCAATAGAATTAAGCTTTTCCAAAAAGTAGGCTTTAAGAAAAGATTTTATTTTATTTTTTAATTTTTGGTAAGAAGACTTTACAAGAATGACATGAGAAAAAAAACTTCAAGATTAACTAATGGAATAGAAAGATAAATTTATTTTTGAAAAACATCCTGCAAAACACTCATAAAGTGGCATAATTGTAAGTAACAAGAACAAGAGTGTATCATGATGTGCAGAACCTGATAAAAATACTTATATATGTCACTGAGAGTTAAAGCACGCAGATGTCCGTGTAATCCTAGAGCAAGGAGAAGTCCAGCGTGAATAAAATTTGGCTCCTCAGGTTTGTTATATGCTATCCATGTTCTTGACATTTTACCCTGAAAATGAAATGTCTAAATTAACGCATAAAACCAAAAACAAATCACGATCACAAACATATATTGATAGAGTTAAGTGAGATTGCAAGGTGAATACATATTAATCAAAATAATTAACTGGAAAATGACTTTTTTTTTTTCTGCTTTTAAGAAATGGTAAAACCTGTGGCAATACTTGGCATCAGAGTATGAATGCACTCATGATCATAAAACACAAAGAAAAACCTGAAGGGGTGCCAGTCTTAGTCCAGCAGCAACAGCATTGTGAAACTCCGGCCAGGATGTAAGTTCTTGTATATTCCTTATGTTTGGATCCAGATTAACCTAAGATAGGCAAAACATGTTAGATGAAATTTATTGAATGGTAAAATTTTGTCCAATTCCTAAACAGTAATGCTACATATACAAAAACAAAGGCGGTACTCCTGCATTATTATGACATCATTTAATTTAATTTAATTTTTTAAATTTACTTTTAGTTTTCGCTTTCCCAATCATATCATGTTACATCATTTTATATGGGCTAGTTTGTATAAAGAATTAGTAAGTGTAGTAATAATACATCACTAAAACAATTTAAAGTGGACATACAGTTGCATTTTGCTGGGCAGGCAACCGACCTGCTAAAACAAGCTTGGGGACTGTAAAGGCCTGCACAATATTTCAAACAAGTCTTCAGAAAGAGAAATGTATCTCAAAACAATCAATTTAAAAAAAAAAAAAAAAAAAAAAATTTCTCCAAAGAAAACAAACTAAAGAATTTAAAAATGGGACTACCTCTGTCAGAAGAGTATATATTGTCGCAAGAGTAAATGCTCCACGTCCAAGAGGAAGTGCAGTAGTCCTTTGTGCAAGGTGCCACAGCTGAGCCTTCATCAAGAAAGTAGAAGAAGAGCATCAAAATAAGACATTGAAACTTAAAATAAAGGTGATAAATCCAAGACGTGGAGGCATTAACAGAATATAGCTGAATAACCCTTCTGCAGATATTTCTATCTCCTTGTTAAAGCAATTTGTAGAGTGATCTGAATAGAAAATGAAAGACAACTAAAAGTTTATAATGTTAAGAATGAACCCTGATAAGACTATAATATCTATAGAAAAGAAATGTTGATACAGTATTTCAATCGAATAAAGAAATAGGTATACCTGTTGCAGGTCCTGATCAGAAGCACTAGGGTTTACAGATGTTTGAATAACCACAGGCCTTGCAGAACAGAGAACGCGTCTAACCTACTAGAAGAGCAAGTAGCATCAAAAACACAAAAGAGTTGCGTTTCAAAAATGACTTCAGAAGAACTGTAATTATGAGTCTGAGCAAGCATCTAAGTTTTTCAGCACATGACATTAAGAAAAAAAGGAGAAAGACCCGATGCTAAGAAAAATTATATACTGTAAGAATAACAATAAACTGAATAAATATTATTTAGTATGAAAGACCAAAACATACTTCATTCAGACGAAGATCCCGACCATATCTCAGTTGTGTGCTAGAGTTGAAGATATGCTCCATGCCATCCGTCATGGACCCATCAACAGAATCTGTATCCTCAAATTTGGTGCTATCCAATCCTATAGTATCAGAGACTGAGGAAGGAACTGTAACTGGATGCAAATGTAGCATATAAGGTGTAGACATAGATATTAGGTTCAAATTGGTGTGGGTTTCAAGTTCCTTAGATTTGCATGAATGCACTAAACATGACAGAGCCAAATCTTCTCGACCAAGAAGAACATATGCAGCCGCAGGCCAGTCAGTGGGAGGAGATTCACGACACTTGTCCAATGCCTGTGAAATGCAAAAACAATCACATGAGGAAATTGAGAACTCAGAATGCAAGAATTTGATTACAAGGAAACAAATGCTGGCTAAAAGAGAATGCCAAGAACACCCCAGCAGTGGTATGATAGCAGTGTACCGGGTACCAATAAAGAAGAGTAAAACTTCTTTAAATAGAGAGGTGCAAGAGAAATAAAAATAGCAAGAAGTTAAAGCATCCCATATCTATCATTATCCAAGATAATCTATGCAACCAGAATAAGTTCACTTTTGAACAAAGTTGTAACCATTGGCAATCCAATGGATACCTTCAATGTTATAACAAATACACTTTACAACTTTGTCAAATGAGTTTCATTCAAAGCAACAACATACTAAAGCATAACTTACATGTCGCAGAGGAAGAGATACACCACAAGGTAGTAAGTCAAGCTGTTGCAGTCCAAAATTTTCCCCCACCATTGCCAAGACAGTAAGCTCCTCATTGGTGCAGTATGATCCAGAGGCAATATTGCAGTAAACACCAGATGAAAGTTTCTTTCCTGTTGGTTTAACACCCAATAATAAATTATAAAAGGAGACTATCTTCCGCGCCCAGCTCACAACAGAACTCCCATCTTTACGAATTAAGGGTGGAAGGTCATTGATATTAGAAGAACTACATCCATGTTGCAAACAGTTTTCAAGCCATTTGAATAAGCTCAGAGGAGTTTTCGAGGAAAATGAGCTTGAACACATCCCAACTCCCTTGGAAAGAGAAGGAAAATCACGAATATAATGATCCAAATAGCATTCCTCACCCAAAAACTTTGCAATATCGCATAATAGGACCGACAACAGCTCCAAGTCCCTACACTCCAAAATTAAGAAATAAATTTACATAAAATAACACCACAAACTGTTCAAGAAATTTCTAGGAGCAAGCACAAGTATAGAACTTCATCCAAAATGCATAAAGCAGCAAAAGATAACTAATCTGTGATTACTTAAAAGAGTAACAGGCTAGTGGTGTCTGACACTAATTTTTCCCCAAATGCAGTAGAAGCCAGTAGTTTTCACAAGATTTTGAGTCTTCCTTATCTACTAATTTACTATCACTAACTTACAGTGAAACACATCACGAAAGAAGAAATAGAAAAAAAAAAAAAATAGGTTCCTTGACAAAAAAGGCTTAGATTTAGGAGGTTAACAAGGGCAAAGCACATGGGCCCAAATTAGTATGTGGAAAATAACTCAAATTATTCTGGCAAATCATTTAGTTCACCATCTCATGCTCTTTCTGTGACAGCAAGAAAGAGTACGATACAAAATTTTTCATCATCTCATATTCCTTCTGTGACAATGGCAAACAGTATGCTATTAATGTTTCAATTTTTCATCCAACATATATCACTATAAGCAAAGCTTTAACTGAACCAGTCAGTGTAGAGTACAGTGAAAACAAAGAAAGGCAACAAAACAGAGAACTTTCAGGCCAGACATGAAATTAGTAAGAAAGAGGTTTTGATAGAGATAGACCAATAAACATGAATATACTTAAGAAACTAAACTCACCGTTTTCGAAGACAATTCAGTTTCAGACTCTCATATACTGCATGCAGTGAATCCAAGGTTGCCACGAACAGTCCAGAGTAAAATGATCCCTTCAGGATATGTTTACCATCTAAATTTGATTTAGAGGAATCTGATCCCAGCACATCAAGGGATGTTCCAGAAGAAAGACCAGGAAAGAAGTTAAATTTGCAGTAGTTCTTGTGAAAGTTACTGTTAAGAAGAAACTCCCAAGATGATTTAGGCACTTAATTCAAGGGCTCTTGAGCAGTAACAGTAGATCTTCGACCCATTTGCATAATTACACCACAAAAAGAGTTCCATTCTGAATCCACTGTAGAGTTTGCCTCCGATAAGTAGGCAGAGTCACCATCTCCCCAAAGAAGAACAAGGAAATAATTATAGAAACTGGAATTAAGCCCCTCAGCCAGTGCTGTGATGCAGTCATTCGTCAGTGAAGATGAAGGGTTCTGTCTTAATGCACATCGAAACATCTGGACAGACACCAATTACAAGATTGTAAAATGGAAACATCTATATAAACCTAAGAATGGACTGGTAAAACCAATTTGATAAATATCAAAACCTAATTATTCATGGAAGCTCCATTAATTATCAACCACTACTGGCAAAGTGAAAGAACAGTATGGAGTCACGCTTATCTAGCACGTAAAATTTCCATAACTCAGGAAAGGCGGCAACAAATTAGGATTCCATAACTCACGAGAGGCAGCAACAAATTAGGAACATTGCAAAATCATTAAACATCGAAATTAATAAAATTTACTCAAAGGACTTAAATTAGAAGTTACCATACCTGCCCATTGCTAACTATAACATTGATGCGCCCCTCAACTGCATCAGCAACGCCAATAATCTTCAAGTCATGGGAAACAGATGCTGCTTCTGAGAACTCCAAACCATGTGAAAGATGAACTTTATGCAAAGAAGAAGGCAACAAATATCTACAAAGACATTTCTTCCCTGACTGCAGCCATAACATACATTGGTTACACAAATCTCACAGCCACTAGCAAAATATCACAATGCTTTGTTTAAATGCATCCAGAGTCACACCTTGAGCAGGAAATCAAAGAAAGAAAAGATGCTTATAGATGTGATTTTCGAAAGATAATACAAAACATGGATATCATATTGTGTAGAAAATTGTATTCAATATGTGAAAAGAGTGTCAACAAGAAAGCTTCCAGTCTCCGTACAAGAGTATATGTATTTCAATGGAAACCGACTTCTGTACAAGCACTACATATGCATCAACTTATCTCAAATAGAAGATTTTCATACCCTGTATTAGTGTCAAAACACAACGTTAAATTCATGTCCACAAATCACTGCCAATAATAAAAGAAAAACATCTTTGCAATAAGAATTTAGTGATTGCATTAATAAAAAGGCAACCAAATACCCAAACTAGGGGTGAAAACTGAGCCGAGCCACTCCAGCTCGACTCGACAATAGTAGAGTCGAGCTCAAATATTGATTCGAGTTGAATTCGATCACGATACAGGTCGACTCGAAAAGCTCGATTAAAACTCAATTATACGAGCTCGAATTCGAACTCGAGTTCTAATTTCAGGTACTAAGTTCAGGTTCGAACTCGAATTCGGTACTGTGACAACCGAGTCAAGTTCAAGTAGCCAGATACTCAACTCGATTTCACCCCTACCCAAAACCTCTAACAGTGACATCTCTTGCCAACATATATACATTTCCGACTTTCAAGAGAAAATAATATTCAGAATTAAGAAAATTAAAAATTAAAAATCAACAGTGGATAATTTAATACATAAGCCATATATATACAGCTTACATAAAGGAGAAGGCCGTTGTCTGGAGCCAAAACAATAATGTCAGCATATGGCAGCAGACCCACTTTCACTCTGGAAGAAACAACGAAGAATAAAATAGCCAGATTATTGAACAATCAATCCAAATAAAGCAAATAAAAGAAACAACAAAGAAAATGACTCTACCTCGGACGCGTAACAACAACTGGTGCGGCAGCAATTGCTGGTATACTCCAGCTCATGTCAGGTTTAATATCATAGAGAATCTCATTATTTATTTCAACACTCTGAAGCCTTACAGACAATAACGTTTTTTGTTCAAGAAGAAGAAGGCAAATTATAGGAGCTGCATCATCATCAGTCGCTAGAAAAACCTGGAAACATTTCAGGCCACTTCAAGTCGAATGAACATGTAAGATATGACACTATATCACCACAAAGCTGACAAAATGTGCAATATCTTAGAATGAGATCAATTTTACCATAATTAAATGCAGATCACAAGCAAGTAGAGAGGAAGTAAATACAGGGAAGAGTCCACAGATGAAAACAAAACTGTGAACACTTCTGGAGCGACCTATAAGTGGAATATCATAGAAGAAACTTTGGGTAGAAAAGGTTAGAAAAGATAAATGAAATTTGTATATGAGAATACCAATGATTTTATAAATTAGAAATGGAAGATTAAAAGATTTTCAACATAAAGTCATTCTAGAATAGTCTATGGAATTGAGTTTGAAAAGGTTACTAAACTGGTATGCACCAATGACACAACCAACTAATGTCCAGCAAAACCATTATAAGTTTCTATAAAGTAAACTTACAGTGTTTTTTATCCCTTCAAGCATTTTTTACATCTTACAAAGAATACTACTATGAATAGAAAACTCAATTCATGCAAATTAGTAACAGGATTTATAGAAGAATTTCCGTATAGAAGAAAAACAGCTAAGCTGATAAGCAATATAACAGGAAAAGATATGAAAATTTGGACAGTCCAAAAATAAATCAAAGTTTTAGGCCAAACAACAAGGAAGTATGGCCTAAATTCTTTATTCTGGATAGAAGAAAGCACACTAGACACATTACCACTACTGTAGTGGCTCTATCCAGTAGCAATTAATTAAAAAGGTGGGAAAAAGAAAGAAGTGACAAAACACTAATAAGCATTCCTTACTGAACACTCATACAAAAGATGAGATGAACTGGCACCTTAGAAGCAGCTGTCTGAGAACCTTTCCCCTGCCATATTCTACGGAAGGAAAATTGTTTGGGCAATACACCAGCAAGAACTATGTCACATAAGCTAGCACTTGAGACTTCAAGGTTAGAATTAACAACTTCAGCAACCCAAACAGAATGCTGCATCTTTCCTGTACACCAAGTGAAAAGGTCAAAACATGGTGGATTTGGAAAACGAGATGATGGAAAAAGGGGAGTGGCTAAGGTAACACTTCAGATTAATTATGGTGAAGGTAATCAGATGAACCTTTGTTGTATGATGCCATCAGAGGAATTTGACTGCTAGTCCAAATTGTTCTTTCATCAAAGTCCTTCATTATGTTTAATTTTCCTCTTTCTTCAATGTAAGTAGACTGATCATTCAAAAAACACAAATTCTTATGAACAAAAAAAAAAAAAAAAACCAGGTAACCTGAGTTCATAAATGCAAGAGAGGATTGAAAAAAAATTAGAGCATACAGCATTCAAATGAAAAAAAATAAAAATAAATAAGGCAAAAACAGAGAATTGTGAAGGAAACTATAACACGACCATTGGTTCCTCCAGCAAATCGCTAAGAATTAAATGAGAAGACATTGAAGCTGTGTCTCCCTTGATCATATGACCATAAGCACTCAGATAACTGTAATTATTTTGTGGGCTGTGCCCACTGTCCCTTCTTGGACGGGATATATCACGTTCACTTAACAAAGGGCTTGACGATGAAAAAGGAACTTGAGTTGGCGAATTCCCTTCAACTGCCTGGAGTAGTAGACCAAATGGAAGCGGCCATATTGATGTGATTGTACGAGGTAGTGGAATGGATACCACTTCACCTGGCACAAAAGTCAGAGAGAGATAGAATCTCAATAATATTATGCAATAAGAACGCAGGTTTCTATTCATTCTATGCAATCTAATGAATAAGCTAAAAAATGGCTTTCAAGATATAGACATACCAGTTCTAGATTTAACAATATATAGATAGCATTTCCATGTGTAGAAAGGAAAAGTGTAATACAATTTTAAACAACAAATAGAAAAGAGAAACTAAAACCAACCAACTGATGGATAAATTAGAAATCCACCCGACCAAAATGCACCTGATATCATACATTTTAGCAGTATATTTGTTCTCTTAAACACATTATACATCATTTCAAAGTAGTTTTGAAATTAAAAAGGCCAAAATACTGAAACCGATATTTTGGCACAATAAGGCTATTTAGTGGAATCAATTTATTTTTAAGAGCTGACATGGAAAGATCTTAGCAGACCTAATTTATACACTGTTTAGATTTACAACGAAGAACCAAGCTTAAAAGAAAATGAAAAGCATTTTTGTAACTTATACTATTGAAGACCATATCCTAGTCAGCTCACCCGATGTGTTGTAAATCGTCAACGATTCCATTTGTAAGACACAAAGAAGAGCTTCTGACATATCACCAAGACGACACCAGCATACCTAAATACACCAAGTACTCGTCAAAATAATTACAAAAACTTTTCGTTTAAGTAAAATTGAATTGAGAAAAATGTTTACCATGATAACAGGAGAAGGTAAAGTGAACCTCTTAAACACTCGTGAACCAGTTGTCCATATAATACTGTTACACAAGAACAATCAAATTAAAAAACTACTTAAGCCAAAATTTTCACTAAATTTTGAAAAATTAAGCTGAAAACTAATAATTAAATTACCGGTTCCCTCTTATGAAAAGCTCGTGATCGCAGCTCGGCTCAGTGTGTGAGCCGCCAACATCTCTATCAGCTTCGCCTCGGTCTCTGACGAGCTCTGGATCGAAGAGGAAGTAATCATACTTATCTGAAATATTGTCGGGAGGTTTTCCGTCAAGAGCTTCGGCGATTAAGCCGAACGGCTTGAACTCGCCGAGGACTGTTAAGTGACGAACTCCAACCGACATTGCGGTGGTGAGTTGAAGAGATTAGTGAGCCAGTGGAAAGAAGAGATTAGTGAGCCAGCGAAACAAAGATTTAATTACTTCAGTGCTCGAGTCCCGCCATTTTTTAGTATTCAAGTGTTAAAGAAAAACCCTAGTGGGTTTTTCCAAATTTTACTGTAGTTGTTTTTTTTAAATAAAAAAAAAAGGGATGATAAAATGTGCGTTGCTACCTGCCAAGCCGCCAAGGTGGCATTTTATATAAATTACATTAATATAAGGAGAAATATCATATCGGACGTAAGAATAATATATATATATATATATATGAATGATACCTAATGTCAGAATATTGCCTTTATATGTGATCCAATGTAAATTCATTTAAAATAATTAAAAGAGTAAACGACTTTTTCCCATCCATTAATGATGTAATGACATTTTCCCACCTTCAAACTTATTAAGACTATTTAACCATCCAACATTAGATTCTTTTAATAGTTTATGTTAAAAATTGTAATATTTAATGTAAAGACAAAACTATATTTTAGATGTTTGAATTAAAAATTTATTTATTATTATATTTCAAGTCAATAGACTCAATTGATCATCTATCACCGTCCCTCCCATCTTTCTTTCCGATTCTTCACAAAGCCTCCATTGACCAAGCAAATCCAAACCACACACCAATCTTTACGACATCATGTCATCATCATCATACTTATAAAATTAAGACCATTTCATCTTAATTTTTTTTTCTATTTTTTCCCACATAATAGAGAAAAAGAAAAAAAAAAATTATTAACAAACACCACCCACATAGACATAAACCGATGCTGCGATGCACTATAGATCATCACTCTTGAAATCAACATTATCCAACTGTGAACAGTTTAGATATTAAAAGAGAATATTGGGACCTATATGATATTTTACAAGACAAATTAAATTGTGGAGAAGCATAAAACTAAGGAAAATAATTAACTAGACTTGTATATGTTAAATAAGACAAGATTTAGATCAAACTTTTTGTAAAAGGTAATACTAGGTTCACAACCTTCAATGTAACAGCTTATTATTGGTCAGTTCACAAAATGAGACCCGTCTATTTGTTCATCTGTAAGTTAATCAATGACGAACTACCACATCAAAAGTTGTGAGAAATGATTATAAGATTAGATAGTAAACCTATCATGAAGGTTGGCCATAACCCAAAATCTGCGTTTAATCAAGAAGGGTCGAAGGCTTGGAGCATCGAAAACAAGAAACGGTCAAGATTTACTTTATTGAAATTGCTGCATTTATCTTTGCCAAGATTTCAATATCAATAAATTTGTAAGAAATATAAATAAATCAGAAAAAAAAAAAAAGAATATTTACATACAATTTGTTGTATTGATTTTATTAGCCTCTGAATATATGCATCATACAGGTCAGTGTCTTGTGCAGCCAATTTTTCCCAATGGTTTGGATTCAATGAGTCTCCAACAAACACAAGTCTTTTGTTTCTTAGCTTATCTAGCAGTAATCTTTGACTTGAACCTGGACGAAGAAATAAATTAGAAACTTTAAGCTGAAGATGTGCGTAATTAAATAACAGAACAGGAGGGAGATTTTAATCAAAATTCTTACTTGGGCAAAGAGCCATGTCTGGGTTGCCATCTCCAGTTTTGGTACACGGAATCTTGTCTTCCGTTTCTCATGCTAGTGACTTGGGCTGTGAGAAATTCACACTGATCTTCTTTGTATGAAGGGTGTGTTTCATTATCAAAAACCCATTGGCCTGTAAAGAAGAAGAAATATTTACATACAATTAACCAATAATAGATTGGCCGAATGGTAAAGGCTTGGGGCAAAAGGGTTTGTTTCTCTTGTGATCTAAGGCTCAAATCACAAGAACAGTTGGTAATATTATTGGCTACAGACCACAGGATTTGTCCTGTTTCGAAAGCCTTTTTTGTTATAGGGTTGGGAGATAAGTCAAGATGCACATAAACTAGCTTGAACACTCTAGTAACAAAAAAAAAAAAAAAAAAAAAATTTACATACAATTTATTGTATAGATTTTATTGGCCTCTGAATATATGAATTATACAGTTCATTGTCTTGTATAGCCAATTTTCTACCACTTACTTTGTCCAACCAAAAAAATTTGGTGGCCCGTCCCTATCATTCACCCCATAAAACAAAACTAAATCGAGGGGAACTGAGAAGAAAAATTACAGGACAAATTAAATCTTGGAGAACCATAGAAATTTAAACAACAAAAAAGAGAAATTAATGAAATAAAAAAAAAAATTCACAAAACGCAACCAGTCACGTGCGAATGATATGTGTGTAAACGAATTCATTCATGTGTCGGGCAATCCGGGAAGCCACCTATACATACAATCTGTTATGCAACGGAAACATAAACTTTAACGCTAGCTATTGAATATAATAATAACAAGTAGTAAAACATAAATAAATAGCCAAAATTAAATGCAAAAATAAAGAATATCAGAAATTAACGAGGCTCGGTATTGTAACCTACGTCCTCGGGTGCTGCAAAAGAAAACTTCACTATCTCCAAACAATATTACAAACTTTTGGGTAATATAACAAATAACCAAAACAAATGGGAGATACAACAAAGCTTTTAAACTAAAAGGTCCTTAAAGAAAGAACCTTATACAAGAGGAGTGTAATGGAAATACAATTTGGGATACAAATAACAATTATTTGGGTCCTCATATATAGGCCCCAAAAGTTTTCCACTTTTCATTCCTAAGCAATATGAGACAAACTAACTTTTTGGCCTATTACATATAAGTCCCTAAACCTTTCTCCATTATCACTTCTACCCCATGTGATTTTGCTAGATGAGCCATTTTTCCAACAAATCTCCACCTTGGCGAATTAGCAAACCTTCAAAGTTTTGAATTCTTTTGTCAAAGTTTGCAACACCTTCAAATGCGCCAAAAAGCACAGTCAAACTCACAGGATGTTGATCAAGTTCAAACAGTGATTGAACTTAATCATTGTCACTACTTTCGTTAAAATATCTGCAGGATTCTCAGCAGTCCCAATCTTCTCTAATGAGATTCTTCCTTCAGTAATGATTTCCCGCACAAAGTAGTAACGAACATCTATATGTTTGGTGCGAAAGTGGAATACTAGATTCTTTGCTAAGTGAATAGCACTCTGACTATCATAATAGATAGTGATCTTCTTCTAACTAATTTTCAATTCATCCAATAGCCCTTGTAACCAAATAGCTTCCTTCACAGCCTCTGTAGTAGACAAAGCAACTGTAGACTGCAAAGAAAATTTCCAACTTACTGGAGCTCTAGCAAGAGTAAATACATATTCAGTAGTTGATCGACGCTTGTCCAAATCACCAGCATAATCAGAATGAACATAGCCAACAGCAAATTGACTAAGATTTTCATCCTGCTCAAAAACAAAACCAATGTTTACAGTACTTATAATATACCGTAAAATCCACTTCACAGCTTGCCAATGTCCTTTACCAGGATCATGCATATACCTGCTCACAATTCCAACTGCATGTGAAATGTCGGGCCTAGTACACACCATTAAACACATCAAGCTACCAACCGCATTTGAATACGGAACTTTTGACATATACTCTCGTTCTTCATGCGTAGATAATGATGCACTAAGCTTTATATGAGGAGAAGTGGAGTACTTACAGGTTTTGTACTTTCAGTTATGCCACAACATTGTAAGACCTTCTTTAGATACTGCTTTTGTGTCAAACAAACCTTGCCATTTCCTCTGTCTCTCATTATCTCCATACCGAGAATCTTCTTGGCTTCTCCTAAATCCTTCATCTCAAATTCTTGATTTAGTTGAGCCTTTAACTTCTCAATTTCTTCTACGTTCTTTGAAGCAATCAACATATCATCAACATATAAGAATAGATAAATGAGAGTATCACCTTGTAGTATTTAAAAATACACAGTTATCAAATTTGCTTCTTGTGTACTTCTGACCCATCACAAACCTATCAAATCACTTGTACCACTGCCTCAGAGATTGTTTCAAACCATAAAGCAATCTTTTTAGTTTACAAACCCAATCTTCCTTCCCAATAGTCATAAATCTTTCTAGCTGAGTCATATAGATTTCCTCTTCCAAATCACCATGTAGAAACGCGGTATTCACATCAAGTTGAACTAGTTCAAGATTCATCTGAGCAACCAAGGCCAACAAAATTCTAATGGAAGAATGTTTTATAACTGGAGAAAATACCTCATTGAAATATACTCCTTCCTTCTGAGCATAGCCTTTAGCCACCAACCTTGCCTTGTATCGAATGTCTTTCAAATTCAAAAATCCTTCTTTCTTTGCATATACCCATTTGCACCCAATTGTCTTCTTATTCTTTAGTAATTGAACTACCTCCCAAGTTTCATTCTTATGGAGAGACTACATCTCTTCTTTCATGGCTTTCTTTCACTTACAATTTTTGGAACTGCTAGGTACTTCATTATAAGTGGAAGGAACTTCACCATCTTCAATTAGGAGTGCATAGGCCACCGTATCAGCAAAACGAGCAGGCTTGCGAATTTCTTGTCTTGGCCTACTAATGGCAATAGATTCTTGTTGAGGTTCTTGAGGATTCCTTGGGAAGAATCCTCTTCTTCATCTCCAATAAACTCCTCTATCATAGGAGTCTCATTTCTAGTTGGGCTAACTAATGTTGTTTTAAACTCCACCTGCTGCTGAGTATGCTCCACCTACTGCAGAGTACTGATAACCTTCATCTAACTTCCTGCTTTCTTCTCTAACATGGAAGACCATCAAATGTCACATCCCTACTAAATAGTATTTTCTTTGAACTTGGACACCAAAGACGGTATCCTTTCACACCTGAGGTAATCCCCATGAATACTGCTTTCTTTGCTCTAGAATCTAACTTAGACTCTTTCACATGATAATAAGCAGTGGAACCGAAAACATGTAAAGAGTCATAATCAGAAACAGGTTTTCCAAACCATACCTCAACTGGCGTCTTGCCTTCAATTGCAGTTGACGGTAGACAATTAATGAGATGACACTTATGTATAACTGCCTCAGCCCAAACTCTTTGCCCA